GTCGTCCTCCGCTCTCCCGGATCACCTCTCCACCCAGCTCCATCAGCTCGTGATCCGGGTTGGGGGGGTGGGGGGGGGGGGGGGGGTGGAACAGGCAGGCCCCCTCCAGGACGTCCTCTGGCTGCCAGCAGGTTGTCCAACCGGATGGCCATGTCCACCAGTTGAGGGAAGGACAACATGGTGTCCCGGCAGGCTAGCTCCCTTCGTATGTCCTCCCGTGGATGGCACCGGAAGTGGTCGATGAGGGCCCGCTCGTTCCACCCGGACCCAGCTACTAGAGTCCTGCGCGGTCCTCGTCCCCTGCCTCAGGTGGACTAGCCGGTCGCCCGCCTCTCTACCCTCGGGCTGGTGATCGAAGACAGCTCGAAACAGGCGAGCGAACTCCCCGTAGTTGTCCAACGCGGCTCCTCCTTCATTCCAGACCATGTTGGCCCACTCCAGGGCTTTCCCCGAGAGGCAAGAGACGAGGGCGGACACCTTCTCCCGCTCCGATGGGGCCGGGCTGATGCTTGAATAGTATAGCTCCAGTTGGAGGAGGAATCCCTGGCAGAGAGCAGTTGTCCCGTTGAAATCCCGTGGTCGGGATATATGGATCCCTCTGGGTGCTGGGGTGTGGGTGGCTGGATCCGGTGCCCAGCTGTTCCCGACAGATCGGGTCCTCTCCTCTCCCAAGCTGGCCAGAATCGTTGAATGCTCCCGGTCCCGTGCCACGACTCCAGACATATGCTCTTCTCCTGCTGACTCCATGGCGGTGTGTGATTCTGTGATGGGTGATTTGAAGGAGTCAGGCACAGGAGGGTAAATCACAGAATAACAGGATTTATTCTGGAATACAGAGTTACGCAGTAATGAGTCAAAACAGTCCATGCGCAAAACAGGCGCACTGGAACCAACAAGGCACACGTGGAAAATAACCCGGCAATACAAAATACAAGGAGCTCAACTGGGCTTCACTCTCTTCACAATAAACAATCACATACAAAGACAAGGGGGCAGAGGGAACACTTATACAGGTACTGATGAGGGGATATGAACCAGGTGTGTGTAATAAACAAGACAAAAGAAATGGAATGATGAGATGAGGAGCGGCAGTGGCTAGAAGGCCGGTGACGACGAACGTCGAAGCCTGCCCGAACCAGGAGAAGACGCAGCTTCGGAAGAAGTTGTGACAGTTGTGTTGTGACAAGATAGGGGGGTATACAGAAGATAGCCCTATTTGGTAAAAGACCAAGTCCATATTATGGCAAGAACAGCTCAAATAAGCAAAGAGAAACGACAGTCCATCATTACTTTAAGACATGAAGGTCAGTCAATACAGAACATTTAAAGAACTTTGAAAGTTTCTTCAAGTGCAGTTGCAAAAACCATCAAGCGCTATGATGAATGGCTCTCATGAGGACCGCCACAGGAATGGAAGAGACAGAGTTACCTCTGCTGCAGAGGATAAGTTCATTAGAGTTACCAGCCTCAGAAATTGCAGCCCAAATAAATGCTTCATAGAGTTCAAGTAACCGACACATTTCAACATCAACTGTTCAGACGAGACTGTGTGAATCAGGCCTTCATGGTCGAATTGCTGAAAAAAACCCACAACTAAAGGACACCAATAAGAAGAAGAGACTTGCATGGACCAAGAAACACGAGCAAGCGGTGTGGGTGAACGGATGATCTCCCCATGTGTATTTCCCACCGTAAAGCATGGAGGAGGAGGTGTTATGGTGTGGGGGTGCTTTGCTGGTGACACTGTCTGTGATTTATTTAGAATTCAAGGCACACTTAACCAGCATGGCTACCACAGCATTTTGCAGCGATACGCCATCCCATCTGGTTTGGGCTTAGTGGGACTATAATTTGTTTTTCAACAGGACAATGACCCAACACACCTCCAGGCTGTGTAAGGGCTATTTTACAAAGAAGGAGAGTGATGGTGTGCTGCATCAGATGACCTGGCCTCCACAATCCCCCGACCTCAACCAAATTGAGATGGTTTGGGATGAGTCGGACCGCAGAGTGAAGGAAAAGCAGCCAACAAGTGCTCAGCATATGTGGGAACTCCTTCAAGACTGTTGGAAAAGCATTCCAGGTGAAGCTGGTTGAGAGAATGCCATGAGTGTGCAAAGCTGTCATCAAGGTAAAGGTGGTGGCTATTTGAAGAATCTCAAATCTCAAATATATTTTGATTTGTTTAACACTTTGTTGGTTACTACATTATTCCATATGTGTTATTTCATAGTTTTGATGTCTTCACTATTATTCTACAATGTAAAAACTTGTCAAAATAAAGGAAAACCCTTGAATGAGTAGGTGTTCTAAACCTTTTGACCGGTACTGTAGGTATTCAGACCCTTTACTCAGTACTTTGTTGAAGCACATTTGGCAGCAATTACAGCTTTGAGTCTTCTTGGGTATGATGTTACAAGCTTGGCACACCTGTATTTGGCAAGTTTCTCCCATTTTTCTCTGCAGATCCTCTCAAGCTCTGTCAGGTTGGATGGGGAGCGTCGCTGTACAGCTATTTTCAGGTCTCTCCAGAGATGTTCAATCGGGTTCAAGTCCGGGCTCTGGCTGTGTCACTCAAGGACATTCAGAGACTTGTCCCGTAGCCACTCCAGCGTTCTCTTGGCTGTGTGCTTAGGGACGTTGTCCTGTTGGACGGTGAACCTTCGCCCCAGACTGAGGTCCTGAGTGCTCTGGAGCAGGTTTTCATCAAGGATCTCTCTGTACTTTACTCCATTCATCTTTCCCTCCAGCCTGACTAGTCACCCAGTCCCTGCCGCTGAAAAACATCCCCACAGCATGATGCTGCCACCACCATGCTTCACCGTAGGGATGGTGCCAGGTTTCCGCCAGACGTGACGCTTGGCATTCAGGCCAAAGAGTTCAATCTTGGTTTCATCAGACCAGAGAATCTTGTTTCTCATGGTCTGAGAGTCCTTTAGTTGCCTTTTGGCAAACTCCAAGCGGGCTGTTATGTGCCTTTTACTGAGGAGTGGCTTCCGTCTGGCCACTCTACCATAAATGCCTGACTGGTGGAGTGCTGCATAGATGGTTGTCCTTCTGGAAGGTTCTCCCATCTACACAGAGGAACTTTGGAGCTCTCTCAGAGTGACCATCAGGTTCTTGGTCACCTCCCTGACCAAGGCCCTTCTCCCCTGATTGCTCAGTTTGGCTGGGCGGCCAGCTCTAGTAAGAGTCTTGGTGGTTCCAATATTCTTCCATTTAAGAATGATGGAGACCACTGTGTTCTTGGGAACCTTCAATGCTGCAGAAATTTTTTGGCACTCTTCCCCAGATTTGTGCCTCAACACAATCCTGTCTCAGAGCTCTACGGACAATTCCTTCGACCTGGTTTTTTCTCTGACATGCACTGTCAACGGTAAGTGTGTATCTGTGTAATGTCTGCTTATTTGTGTTTTCTTGTCCTGTCAACCCAAAAATGATAAAAACTTGATTTAAAAAACGATTCAAATTAGCATAAATCAGTAATAACCCAGCAAACAACAATAGCAACTCTTGAACCATTCAAGCTAGAGACACCAAACCAACTTTCTCAAGTTCAGGCTATCCTATCAATCAATCAATTATCCCATCTATCTACTTTTTCAACTATAACCAGTTACAACCATCACCATTGCAGTGACTATCACTAATATCACTCATTTCACAACCATAAATACTTTAAGACAATCTAGCAAGCACACACATTTTCTTTAGGAAATGCACTTTTCTATTCTGAACAAAAATATAAACGCAACATGCAACAATTTCAACTATTTTACTGAGTTACAGTTCATATAAGGAAATTAGTCAATTTAAATAAATTAATTAGGCCCTAATCTATGTATTTCACATGACTGCGCAGGGGCGCAGACATGGGTGGGCTGGCAGGGCATAGGCCCACCCACTTGGGAGCCAGAACCACCCACTTGGGAGCCCCACAAAAGGGCTTTATTACAGATAGAAATACTCCATCAGCTGTCCGGGTGGCTGGTCTCAGATGATCCCGCAGGTAAATAAGCCGGATGTGGAGGACCTGAGCTGGCGTTGTTACACGTGGTCTGCGGTTGTGAGGCCGGTTGGACGTACTGCCAAAATTCTCTAAAACAACGTTGGAGGCGGCTTATGGTAGAGAAATTAACATACAATTATCTGGCAACAGTTCTGGAGGACATTGTTGTAGTCAGCATGCCAATTGCACGCTCTCTCAAAACTTGGAGACATCTGTGGCATTGTATTGTGTGACAAAACTGCACATTTTAGAGTGGCCTTTTATTGTTTAATCAGCTTCTTGATATGCCACACCTGTCAGGTGGATGGATTATCTTGGCAAACGAGAAATATTCACCAACAGGGATTTAAACAAATTTGTGCACAAAAGTGGAGAGAAATAAGCTTTTTGTCTATATGGAACATTTCTGGGTTGGAACATTTCTGGGATATTTTATTTCAGCTCATGAAACATGGGACCAACACTTTACATTTTACGTTTATATTTTTGTTCAGTATAGTTATTATTATTTGTCTTCTGCTGGAACCTCTAGCGCAAAAAAAGCTACCGAGACCAAAACCAATTTTAAAGCTGCAGACTGACTGTCTCCAGGTTGCTTGAAAAAAACGTTTTGATACTACTTATACTTTTCACACTACAAACGTTTGTATAAATCCCAATGCATTTCAATGGCCATAAACTTGAATGGGACTTTTTTGGTCACTACTAGTCTTCCACCGTTTAAGGTAGAAATACCATTCAAACTTTAAAACGTGCAGACCGGTCTGGAATAGGTTGCTTGTATACAGGTTTTTGATACCATTTATACTTTTTAAACTATAAGTTTACATTTGCATAAAAGCTCCATAGACTTCAATGGGAAATATTTGTATTGCCACACTCTTGAACTATAAAAGCTACAGACACCAAAACAACATTGACACGTACACGGGGGGGGGGGGGCGTTCATGCATGAACAATAGGGACGTTCGAGGGGGGAGGCGTTCCTGCAGGCGAAATGCCCACATGCAGGAACGCACCGGATTTTGGGCTGTAGTTGCACACTATTAGGGAAAAATAGCCTGAGGTATTTCGGTTGTCATTCTGACCATCCCATTGGTCGGGGGGCTGTGACTATTTGAGAACTTCTTCGGAATTGGGAGGACACGGGAGGTGGCTGCGGTGTTCCAAAGAATTTGTAAGAGAGTGACACAAGAGAGTGCATTTCGGGTATAAACAGCACCGTTTGTGCAACTTTCCTGACCATCTGGACGAGGGAAGGGATAATTTCGAAGTGCGGAGGAAGACAGGCTGTGTACCACGGTTATGGCGGTGGCTCTCAATTTACTTTGCCTTGTATTTATCACATCAGTGATTTTACGAACTGCGACATCGAGCACCTTCAATGAATCGTAAGTACGGTACAAAACATTTGATGTAGTAGGCAGTAGAAACACGTAGTGTTTTCGGCATTTAATGTAGGGATTAAACTCACAACAAGCAATTGTTTACATGCCTGACTGCATACAACAGTCTATAATCAAATTTAGGAATTAATTGTTCTCCGTATTCTGCGGGCTATGCACCTGTATGTGTAGGGTAGCCCACCTGAGCAATATAATTATTTTAGTTATAAACATAATATTGCATATAATAATAAAATCGGTTATATGCTTACTGCACTATTATAGCTGAATATCTGCTTGTAATTGTCTCATTTGTGAGTAACATTACAAAAAAGATAGAAGTGGTAAGGCCACAGGACAGGAAAAGTACAATTTCATCTCTCTTTTTCTCTGTGCACGTGAGAGGCTTTTCATATCTAATGAGACATACTGGCAAATAGGCCTGTACATTTTTGGGTTACAAATCAAACTTGTGATAGTCCTTCATAGTCCCTATTAGTGTGCTTTCCTTCAATGTCACTCTGTGCAATCATCCAGGGGCTTCATGCACCCTCAAAATCGGAGGGGCACAAAGTATGTGAGGATGGCTGTGGTCCGTAAGGGGCTTAGGCCCCAGTCCTGAAGTTGGTGAACGTTGAATTTTTCAAACGCCTGAAACGGATTTTCCTGCAATCTAAAGCCGTAATCATTCTTCTTAATTCTATGTCAACAATATGTATTTTTTGTTTTGTTGCATACCTCTTGAGCTGTCTGTATCCTCCTGACTGGTGTTTTTTTTAAAAGCGGCAATCTGCACTTAAAACGATAGCAAAGTGTTTCCCAGCCCCTGTTTCGGTTTAAAGCTGAGGGATGGGGCTGGAGAACTGTAACCACTCTCAAATTCCTTGACAGAGCTATGGATGCAAAGACTGACCATCCATGATATCAAAATTATAGTTTTAACCATGTTTTTAGGCTAGGTTTCTTTACATTGACTTTGTTTACAGTTTTTTTTAAGTAGAGACTCAGAGCTAAAAAATGGTATATCATACACTACAGTTGAGGAACAATGGGAAAGTGACCCTTGAATGTTTTGGTAAACCTACTGGAGAGCTCTAATTTGTCTACACCCTTTCAGCATCGTTCGCACCCTCTTAAGCCTTAGCCCCACCCATCTCTTTAAGGATTCACATGTGAGGCCATGTACTAAACAACCAAAGATTTCAAGACTAAAGGCTGGTTTATACTACAGTTGTCGCAGTGACATCATTAACATTTTATTGTCGTCCGACATCAAACCTGGTGGTCCAAAATAGCATAGCTAGTGTATTTTAACACCAATAAACCCACCCGTTTAAAAATGAATGTAGTATATGTCAATCTAGCAAACCAGGCAACTAAAAGCAACTTTGTAAACAATGTTTTGGTTTGTTTCTAGCTTGTTAGCTAGTTAGCTAATGTTAAGTTAGCTGGCTAGCCAGTTCAAATAATGACTATATCATATAGCTGACAACATCTTCACTTTAGCTCATTTGTCTTCATTATTACAGGAAAATAAACTCACAACAAGATCATTATTTACATGTTAATGGCGAGCCAATTACAGAAAATAGCTTACGGTTGTGAGTGTGACGAAATAAAAGCAGGACAGTCTACCAGAGAATTTTAGAATTTGGACACTGTCTCGTTGACCTAACGTTATATCCTAATTTGACTTTGGTGCAGGTCATGTTCTTCACATTACCGTCTCTGGTAAACGCATACTATATCAAATAAAATCAATGTTTATTTGTCACATGCACAGGATACGGAAGGTATAGTGAAATGGTTACTTGCATAGTGGAGTCTTTTGTTTAGACATGCAGCTAGCTAGCGAAACAATTAACCATAATCCCAACTCATAATGTTATTACCCTGCATGAATCTGCAGGTAGCTAACCAACCAGGTTCAATGTTGGCCAGCTAGCTAACATTAGGCTATAACTAGCAATGCAAATGGCTCTGAGATATGAATAATATTACTACACAGATCATACACGTAACGTTAGCTAGCTAATAGTATGCTTTAACTTGAAATTAAAACAACTTTCTGACATAATATCTGAAAATGTAGCTAGCTAGGCTATCATACCCGTATACATGGATGGACACTTCTCCCTCTCTGTCACGGATGCCATGGTTGCCCTTAGTTTGAAGATGTAATCCGAAGACAGGTGTTTTATACAACAGCCTTCTGTGTGTTCTCTTTTCGACTCCCTCTGCATATTTGCAATCAAACACCAGAATTTTCTCCGAAGCATGCTACATGGCAGACCAATCCGAACACATCTCACGACATGTCCAGCCCATACATTATCTCGGCCAATCATGGCTAGCGGGAAGGTTCCTGTCATTTTCCGTGGCTAAACCAACTAGGCTCGTAATTTAACCATTTTATTTAGTATTTACAGATGGCATACAATTTTGTTATTAAGGCACATGAAAGTTCACATGTTCCAGAAGTCATTTCTTCCAAAAAACGCATTTAGATAAATAAATAAAAGTTTACGTTCAAATGCCTCTCCTGTGAAGTAGTGACGCGCGACATACGCCTAGTTTCCTGATACAAGTCACAAATATTGGCGTGGAACAACTTATATTTTGGGTTCTGATGGGGTATGACAGTTGAACTAAGCTCATGAGGCATTTATACAGATGTAGGATCTTAATTTGAGCCAGTTTGCTACAGCAGGAAAATAATCCTGCAGCAAGTGTAAATGTGAATTATAATGAATGTTAAAATTGTGTAGGGGTTGATACAATTTCTGTTAGGGCAAATCAAGTCTAACATTTTAAAGTGGAAATTGGAAACTTTAGAAGCCTTTTAAAACCTTGAATACACTACAAGTTTGCATTTCATGCTATACAGGAAAATTCCTGCCACAATAGGATGATCAAATTATGAAACGGCATCTGGAAGTTTTATTCTTCAAGAATCAATGGTACATATTCATTCACAAGTCAAAAAGGGTTGTAGCAACTGCAGATTACCCCTTTTAAATAAACTAAATATGCTTCTCTGCATATCTGTTCTGGGTAAAAGATTGAAAGGAATGTGAGTATTATTCAATACATTTAGTAACTGCTTGCTTTTCTAAAGTTTCCAACCTTGTCAACAGGCATGCCAGCTAAGAGAGTTAGACAAGCTAGCTACTCTAACTTGATTGATAGCCTGAAATGGCTTCTTGGTAGCTTTGAGGTTGGGAGATTGGGAACATGTCTGGGCTAGCTAAAGCGAACTTCATACAATTGCTAGGTGGCTAGTAGTATCACAGAGAAACAACAAAGATAAAAATGACCCTAAGCACACAGCCAAGACAACACAGGAGTGGCTTCGGGAAAAGTATTTGAATGTCCTTGAGTGGCCCAGCCAGAGCCCGGACTTGAACCGGATCGAACATCTCTGGAGAGACCTGAAAATAACTGTGCAGCGACGCTCCCCATCCAACCTGACAGAGCTTGAGAGGATCTGCAGAGAAGAATGGGAGAAACTCCCCAAATACAGTTGTGCCAAGCTTGTAGCATCATACCCAAGAAGACTCGGGGCTGTAATCGCTACCAAAGGTGCTTCAACAAAGTACTGAGTAAAGGGTCTGAATACTTATGTAAATGTGATATTTCAGTTTTAAATGTCTTAATAAATGTGAACAAATGTAGATAAACCTATTTTTGCTTTGTCATTATGGGGTATTGTGTGTAGATAGATTATTTTATTTTAAAAAATACATTTTAGAATAAGGCTGTAACGTAACAAAATGTGGAAAAAGTCAAGGGGTCTGAATACTTCCCGAATGCACTGTGTGTGTGTGTGTGTATATATATACACACACACACACACAGTGGGGGAAAAAAAGTATTTAGTCAGCCACCAACTGTGCAAGTTCTCCCACTTAAAAAGATGAGAGGCCTATAATTTTCATCATAGGTACACGTCAACTATGACAGACAAAATGAGATTTTTTTTTTCTCCAGAAAATCACATTGTAAGATTTGTAATGAATTTATTTGCAAATTATGGTGGAAAATAAGTATTTGGTCAATAACAAAAGTTTCTCAATACTTTGTTATATACCCTTTGTTGGGAATGACACAGGTCGAACATTTTCTGTAAGTCTTCACAAGGTTTTCACACACTGTTGCTGGTATTTTGGCCCATTCCTCCATGCAGATCTCCTCTAGAGCAGTGATGTTTTGGGGCTGTCGCTGGGCAACACAGACTTTCAACTCCCTCCAAAGATTTTCTATGGGGTTGAGATCTGGAGACTGGCTAGGCTACTCCAGGACCTTGAAATGCTTCTTACGAAGCCACTCCTTCGTTGCCCGGGCGGTGTGTTTGGGATCATTGTCATGCTGAAAGACCCAGCCACGTTTCATCTTCAATGCCCTTGCTGATGGAAGGTTTTCACTCAAAATCTCACGATACATGGACCCATTCATTATTTCCTTTACACGAATCAGTCGTCCTGGTCCCTTTGCAGAAAAACAGCCCCAAAGCATGATGTTTCCACCCCCATGCTTCACAGTAGGTATGGTGTTCTTTGGATGCAACTCAGCATTCTTTGTCCTCCAAACATGACGAGTTGAGTTTTTACCAAAAAGTTCTATTTTGGTTTCATCTGACCATATGACATTCTCCCAATCCTCTTCTGGATCATCCAAATGCACTCTAGCAAACTTCAGACGGGCCTGGACATGTACTGGCTTAAGCAGGGGGACACGTCTGGCACTGCAGGATTTGAGTCCCTGGCGGCGTAGTGTGTTACTGATGGTAGGCTTTGTTACTTTGGTCCCAGCTCTCTGCAGGTCATTCACTAGGTCCCCCCATGTGGTTCTGGGATTTTTGCTCACCATTCTTGTGATCATTTTGACCCCACCACGCAGATCGAGGGAGACTTATCAGTGGTCTTGTATGTCTTCCATTTCCTAATAATTGCTCCCACAGTTGATTTCTTCAAACCAAGCTGCTTACCTATTGCAGATTCAGTCTTCCCAGCCTGGTGCAGGTCTACAATTTTGTTTCTGGTGTCCTTTGACAGCTCTTTGGTCTTGGCCATAGTGGAGTTTGGAGTGTGACTGTTTGAGGTTGTGGACAGGTGTCTTTTATACTGATAACAAGTTCAAACAGGTGCCATTAAAACAGGTAACGAGTGGAGGACAGAGGAGCCTCTTAAAGAAGAAGTTACAGGTCTGTGAGAGCCAGAAATCTTGCTTGTTTGTAGGTGACCAAATACTTATTTTCCACCATAATTTGCAAATAAATTCATTAAAAACCCTACAATGTGATTTTCTGGATTTTTTTCCCTCATTTTGTCTGTCATAGTTGACGTGTCCCTATGATGGAAAATTACAGGCCTCTCTCATCTTTTTAAGTGGGAGAACTTGCACAATTGGTGGCTGACTAAATACTTTTTTCCCCCACTGTATATAAATAGATAGAGTACCAGTCAAAGGTTTGGACACACCTACTCATTCAAGGGTTTGTCTTTATTTGTACTATTTTCTACATTGTAGAATAATAGTGAAGACATTGAAACTATGAAATAACACTTGGAATCATGTAGTAACCAACAAAGTGTTAAACAAATCAAAATATATTTGAGATTTTTACGTATGGGTGGTCCCGGGTTTCGAACCCACTACCCTGGTGTTACAAGCGCCATGCTCTACCAATTGAGCTACAGAGGACCAGCTTTGCGCACTCTTGGCATTCTCTCAACCAGCCTCATGAGGAATGCTTTTCCAACAGTCTTGAAGGAGTTCCCACATATGCTGAGCACTTTTCATTCACTCTGCGGTCCAACTCATCCCAAACCATCTCAATTGGGTTTAGGTCGGGTGATGCAGCACTCCATCACTCTTTTTAGTCAAATAGCCCTCACACAGCCTGGAGGTGTGTTGGGTCACAAGTGATAGTCCCACTAAGCGCAAAACAGATGGGATGGAGTATCGCTGCAGAATGCTGTGGTAGCCATGCTGGTTGAGTGTGCCTTGAATTGTAAATAAATCACCAACAGTGTCACCAGCAAAGCACCATCACACCTCCATGCTTCACGGTGGGAACCACACATGCGGAGATCATCTGTTCACCTACTCTGCGTCTCACAAAGACACGGCGGTTGGAACCAATCATCTCATATTTGGACTCATCAGACCAAAGAACATATTTCCACCGGTCTAATGTCCATTGCTCGTGTTTCTTGGCCCAAGCAAGTCTCTTCTTTTTATTGGTGTCCTTTAGTAGTGGTTTCTTTGCAGCAATTCGACCATGGTTTGGGATGAGTCGGACCGCAGAGTGAAGGAAAAGCAGCCAACAAGTGCTCAGCATATGTGGAAACTCTTTCAAGACTGTTGGAAAATAATTCCAGGTGAAGTTGGTTGAGAGAATTCCAAGAGCTTGCAAAGCTGTCATCAAGGCAAAGGGTGGCTATTTGAAGAATCTCAAATATAACATATTTTTTTTGGTTACTACATGATTACATATGTGTTATTTCATAATTTTGATGTCTTCACTATTATTCTACAACGTAGAAAATAGTAAAAATAAAGAAAAACCCTTGAATGAGTAGGTGTCCAAACTTTTGACTGGTGCTGTGTGTGTATGTGTATATAATAAAATAAAATAAATAAATAAATATATATATATATATATATATACACACACACTACCGTTCAAAAGTTTGGGGTCACTTAGAAATGTCCTTGTTTTCGAAAGAAAAGCATTATTTTTTGTCCATTTAAAAATAATATCAAATTGATCAGAAATACAGTGTAGACATTGTTATTGTTGTAAATGGCTATTGTAGCTGGAAACGGCTGATTTTTAATGGAATATCTACATAGGCGTACAGAGGCCCATTATCAGCAACCATCAGTCCTGTGTTCCAATGGCACGTTGTTTGCTAATGCAAGTTTATAATTTTAAAAGGCTAATTGATCATTAGAAAACCCTTTTGCAATTATGTTAGCACAGCTGAAAACTGTTGTGCTGATTTTTATAGAAGCAATAAAACTGGCCTTCTTGAGACTAGTTGAGTATCTGGAGCATCAGCGGGTTTGATTACAGGATCAAAATGGCCAGAAACAAATAACATTCTTCTGAAACTCGTCAGTCTACAAGAATAGTGTTTATAAAAAAAAAAAAAAAAAAAAAAACCTTTTTCATGGTATCCAATTGGTAGTTACAGTCCTTGTCCCATCGCTGCAAACCCCGTACGGACACAGGAGAGGCGAAGGTCGAGAGTTGTGCGTCCTCCGAAACACAGCCCAACCGAGCCGCACTGCTTCTTGACACAGTGCCCGCTTAACCCGGAAGCCAGCCGCACCAATGTGTCGGAGTAAACACTGTACACCTGGCGACCGAGTCGGCGTGCACTGCGCCCGGCCCGTCACAGGGGTCGCTAGTGCGCGATGGGACAAGGACATCCCTGCCGGCCAAACCCTCCCCTCCCCTACCCTGGACGACGCTGGACCAATTGTGTGCCGCCCCATGGGTCTCCCGGCTGCGACAGAGCCTGGACTCGAACCAGGATCTCTAGATGCAGTGCCTTAGACCACTGTGCCACTCGGGAGGCCCAGTCTATTCTTGTTCTGAGAAATGAAGGCTATTCCATGTGAGAAATTGCCAAGAAACTGAAGATCTCGTACAACGCTGTGTACTACGCCCTTCACAGTACAGCGCAAACCGGCCCTAACCAGAATAGAAAGAGGAGTGGGAGGCCCCGGTGCACAACTGAGCAAGAGGACAAATACATTAGAATGTCTAGTTTGAGAAACAGATGCCTCACAGGTCCTCAACTGGCAGCTTCATTAAATAGTACCCGCAAAACACCAGTCTCAACGTCAACAGTGAAGAGGCTACTCCAGGATGCTGACCTTCTAGGCAGCGTTGCAAAGAAAAAGCCATATCTCAGACTGGCCAATAAAAAAGAAAAGATTAAGATGTGCAGTCTGAGATATGGCTCCTTACTTGGGTGGATGCCAACCAATGTCTAAATAGCATTAAGATGGGCAAAAGAACACAGACACTGGACAGAGGAAGATTGGAAAAAAGTGTTATGGACAGACAAATCGAAGTTTGAGGTGTTCGGATCACAAAGAAGAACATTTGTGAGATGCAGACCAAATTAAAAGATGCTGGAGGAGTGCTTGATGCCACCTGTCAAGCATGGTGGAGGCAATGTGATGGTCTGGGGGGTGCTTTGGTGGTGGTAAAGTGGGAGATTTGTACAGGGTAAAAGGGATCTTGAAGAAGGAAGGCTTTCACTCCATTTTGCAACGCCATGCCATACCCTGTGGACGGCGCTTGATTGGAGCCAATTTCCTCCTACAATAGGACAATGATCCAAAGCACAGCTCCAAACTATGCAATAACTATTTAGGGAAGAAGCAGTCAGCTGGTATTCTGTCTATAATGGAGTGGCCATCACAGTCACCGGATCTCAACCCTATTGAGCTGTTGTGGGAGCAGCTTGACCGTATGGGTACGTAAGAAGTGCCCATCAAGCCAATCCAACTTGTGGGAAGTGCTTCAGAGGAAGCATGGAGTGAAATGTCTTCAGATTACCTCAACAAATTGACAACTAGAATGCCAAAGATCTGCAAGGCTGTAATTGCTGCAAATGGAGGATTCTTTGACGAAAGCAAAGTTTGAAGGACACAATTATTTCAATTAAAATCATTATTTCTAACCTTGTCAATGACTACATTTCCTATTCATTTTGCTATATTTCCTATTCAAACTCATTTCATGTATGTTTTCATGGAAAACAAGGGAATTTCTAAGTGACCCCAAACTTTTGAACAATTTCAACGAGTTACAGTTCATATAAGAAAATCTGTCAATTGAAATAAATTCATTAGGCCCTAATCTATGGATTTCACATGACTGGGGAGGGGCGCAGCTATGGATGGGAATGCATAGGCCCACCCACTTGGGAGCCAGGCCTACCCACTGGGGAGCCAGGCCCAGCCAATCAGAATGAGGCTTTCCAGATAAGGGCTTTATTACAGACAAATACTCCTCAGTTTCATCAGCTGTCCGGCTGGCTGGTCTCAGATGATCCCGCAGGTGAAGAAGACGGATGTGGAGGTCCTGGGCTGGCTTGGTTACATGTGGTCTGCGGTTGTGAGGCCGGTTGGACGTACAGCCAAATTCTCTAAAACGACATATGGTAGAGAAATTAACATTCAATTCTTTGGCAACAGCTCTGGTGGACATTCCTGCAGTCAGCATGCCAATTGCACGCTCCCTCAAAACTTGAGAGATCTGTGGCATTGTGGTGTAACAAAACTGCACATTTGTAGAGTGGCCTTTTATTGTCCCCAGCACAAGGTGCACCTGTATAATGATCATGCTGTTTAATCAGCTTCTTGATATGCCACACCTGTCAGGTGGATGGATTATCTTGGCAAAAGAGAAATGCTCACTAACAGGGATGTAAACAAATTTGTGCAGAACATTTGAGAGAAATAAGCTTTTTGGTACGTATGGAACATTTCTAGGATGTTTTATTTCAGCTCATGAAACATGGGACCAACACTTTACATGTTGCGTTTTATATTTTTGTTCTGTGTGTGTGTATATATATTTATTTTAAACAGGTCAAATCTGAGGGGGCACGTGCCCCAATGGGCATGATGCCTCTGATCCCGAAGACATGGTTGACAGACCATCAAAACAACTAATTGGTTTTCCCTCCAACACTGTCTGAAAAATAATCAATTGTGCCCTCCATTTCTCATTGGTTGGCCTCTCTAAGTGGGGCGCACAGCCTGAGACGAGTAAGGTCACTTTGTCCCCAACTTTAAAAAATCAGTAGGCTACAAAGGAACTAATGAGCAGTTTCATGAGTACACTGCCACTTAAGTATTATTACCACAGCTGCATTTATGCAGGCTCTTCTTCACTTTTTCCCCTTTTAGGATTTACCTGGTGACAGTCAGCTCGGAGGTGGTAGGAGGGACCACAGAGAAACTTTGTGCTCAGGTCCACCAAGCCACAGAGCCTCTGTTGTTGAAGGTGTCGATGGATATGGAGGGTGGCAGCAGCACCATTCTACTGAAGGAAGCCGTAACACAGGACTTCTATCACTGCACCTCATTCCAGGTCAGCTGCAACTGTGCTGCGTTCAGCAGGCTACAACGTTGTGGAACGCTCTGATATAAATATATTATGTAGAACCAACATGCCTCTCTGACATGTAGGTTAAGGAATCATGCAAGCTCTATCTGCCATTTCTAACTGCAAAGTTCCACAACGTTGTGAGCTACTGAATGTGGCCGTATTCTATCTTCTCTCATGCAAAAGCATCCCGACCACAGTCAACAAGCCAATTAGTTCAATGTTGACGTCATTTGTTTACTTAACTATCACTGACCGGAGCCATCAGCTTTAATAGTAGCTGACACTTTGAATTGGGTCTCTTTCCCGTCAGTGTTACGCAACCTGTGCCTCGCTTCATATTGATTTTAGTTGAACAGTTACCCCCATCAGTTGTGTATACACTGAGTATACCAAACATTAAGAACACCTTCCCAATTTTGAGTTTTGCCCTTAGAACAGCCTCAATTTGTCAGGGCATGGGCTCTACAAGGTGTCAAGCGTTCCACAGGGATGCTGGCCCAAGTTAGCTGGATGTCCTTTGGGTGGTGGACCATTCTTGAAACAGCACACACGGGAAACTGTTGAGTGTGAAAAGCCCAGCAACGTTGCAGTTCTTGACACAAACTGGTGCACCTGGCACCTACTACCATAGCCCGTTTAAAGGCACTGATCTTTCAACCAATCTTTTGTCTTGCCAATTCACCCCACTGAATGGCGCACATACACAATCCCATGTCTCAAGGCTTAGAAATCCTTCTTTAACCAGTCTCCTCCCCTTCATCTACACTGATTTTAAGTGGATTTAACAGGTGACATCAATAAGGGATCATAGCTTTCACCTGGTCAGTCTGTCGTGGAAAGAGCACGTGTTCTTAATATTATGTACACTCAGTGTATGTCAGATTACAGTTGATAGAAACTCCTGACTTCTGTACTGGTCATTCTCTGTCATCTAAATAAAATACTATTCTTACTAGCTTTAAGTTACCCATACACATTCATTCAACAACACACTTTCATTTCAGTCTTTTATTCTGAATAGTTTGGTTGTAACTAAGTCATGTTGTGTGGAACTCAACTTGGATTCCTGGCTGGGTGCAGTATGCAAATTAGCCAACCTATTAAAGGAAATGGCAGTTATGTTAATCATACTTTGCTATGCTGAGGTTAGCTACCATTTTAACAAAAATCCCTCTGTTCTCAAGCTACTCAGTCAGGAGAGCTAAGATTTATTTGGTTGGGAGCTAGAGGAGAGTTCTAACAAGCTTCCATTCTTCTTCTGTTCTTCATGTTGTAGGTTCCCCCAGTGAAGGCTGACAGTGTGGCCACTGTCCATGTTAGCATCAAGGGGAGGAATGAGGAGATGAGAAAAAACACCAAGATCCTTATCAAGCCCAAAAGATTCCTCACCATTTTCCAGACAGACAAACCAGTCTACAAACCTGGACAGACGGGTAGTTAGATAAAATCTTTGATGAACACTGAAACTGACCCTTTTTGAGTTATTACTTGTAAATGTACTAAACTTTCCCTTTTCGTCTAATAATTATGTTCATGCAGACTTTACAGTATATTTGTGAGGCCATAAGCTTGAGGAAAGGTCATTACTGAAATGGATGATGGATATACTGTACACTGTATATAGACAGATGTTTCTACCGCTTTTCCAGTCAAGTTCCGAATCGTCTCGCTGGATGCCAGTTTCTTGTCATTCAATCAGATGGTAAGTTACTCTTTCAGTGTTGTTCAATAAAAATAAAGTGACTCTTTCAAAGCATTTTTAAGTGGGGTTGAACAGGACAGCCCCGTGTTAGTCAGCATTGTAACATTCTAGGGAGGTGGTGTGTAGTTTGGGAGAGGTTTACTGTAGTTGAGTAAAGAAGGGAAGTGATGGAGCAATGATTTCATCCTCTTGCAGTCCCATTTTTTTTATGGGTCAGTGTGGGTGAGTCAGTGTGGGTGTGTAGTTGGCTCAGCAAACATGGTCAGAGTTCATTTGGCCTGGCTGTTTGATCAGAGCATCTGAATCAACATGAGCTCAAGGTCTGCTCTGTACTTTAGCTCTGTAGATAAAGATGCCTGTACTGTAGAAACTGTTTTGGAAAGTTATGAAATTAATGTTTTAAACCCATTTTCTGATGACACTATAGTAGTTCCCTGTAGGCCTACTGTAAAAACTATTTTGGGAAGTAATACAAATAAAGTTTGAAAATGTTTTTTGGGGCCAAATGTTAATGCTGAATGTTTTGTTTCTCTTTTCTAGTATCAAACAGTGGAACTTCAGGTGAGACTCATTCAAATCCATTGCACCTAAAAACCAAAGCTGTATATAACATGAGCAATAATAATGACATGATCTCCCTTCAAAAAAATGTCCTACCAACAATGTACTGCGGCATGAATTGATACAATGCCTGTCTCTAAAACAAAAATAGCTTCCTTCAACCTATTATGAATCTGTATACAGGACCCCAACTCCAACCGCATTGCTCAGTGGTTGAACCAGTCAACAGTGAGTGGAATTCTGGACCTGTCCCACCCCATGTCCGCAGAGGCAATGCAAGGAAGTTACATCATCACTGCATGGAATGAGAAGGGAGAACAAACCTCCCAAAACTTTGACATCAAAGAATATGGTGATGAAATCTTCTCTCTGATGATTACTTTCAGGTTACATTGTGGTTACATTGTTATTACATGGTGATTAAATTGTGGTCTGTGATTTTGTTTTTGGTGTAGTTTAACACACCATGAGGAAGTAATATCTATGTCTGTTTTAGTGTTGCCCAAATATGAGGTGAAAGTCTATCTTCCCCAAACAATAACTATTCTGGACAAGCAAGCAACACTGAGAGTTTGTGGAAAGTAAGTGAATAAGATGATAAAGCATAATAGACAGTAAGATGATAATGATAATGACAAACAACCTTTTTAAACTGGGAAATGTTATGGGTAGAATATTAAGTCCGACTTAATTTGTGTGTTGCATAGACTATACTTGATAGAAACTGTCCCATGTTTGATACTTGCTCATGTTCAAAGCTGTTTCTATTTTTGCAACACTTAATTGCCATTCTTGAATTGTCTTTTTTCTGTTGACTTTGTTTCTAGATACACTTATGGAAAACCAGTGGTGGGGTCTGTCACGGCGAAAGTTTGCAGAAATGCCATTCAATATCGCTGGTTATATGAATCTAGTAATATCTGCGAGTTGTATCGTATGAAAGTAAGTATTTTTTTATTCTTGTTACGCCAAATTATTTGACGAAGAACACTCACTGTGGGGAAAATGGAGGTTTATGGAAGCATGTTTTCATAGCGGAGCTAAGCTGAGCTACAATAAACTACTCATTCTCCCTAGACTGACACAACTGGTTGTGCAACCCAAATGATCGACGTGACCCGGTTCGGTCTAAATGAATCAAAGTTTGATGACTTCGAAGTGGAGACTGAGATGGAGGAATATGGAACGGGTAGGAGAGAACTTTATCTTAAACGTAGAGGTGTTTACATGCTCAACTGTTGACCTCTGACCCTTGCCTTTGTTCTCTCCAGGGGTCATCCTTAAAGGTAGTGGCAAGGCAAGCTTCACCAATGTCATCATAACTGTTCGTTTTGAGGACGTGCCCCAAGCATATAAACCAGGAATTGCATACGAGGGGAAGGTGAGGACAAAATATATTAACAAATGCCTTTTTAATAACACTGCAGGGAAATGGATTGCTCAGAAAAATCGATTTGAGCATGAAGTGGGGATAAATGTTAACATGTAATTTCGAGCATCTAAACTAGGCTCTTGATGTGTTGTATGCAATGGGAGTGTACATTTAGTATATTGGATGTCTGCAGTCATCCTGTCCTGTGTTTTCAGATCAAAGTGACCGGTCCAGACTCTACTCCCGTTTCCAATGAGCCTGTGTATCTCTTCCTACACAACAGTGGCACATCTGAGAACTGGACTCTCACCACAGACAGCAAGGGCATTGCTTCTTTCTCTCTAGACACCTCTTCGTGGAGTTCTGATTCTGTGTCTCTGTCGGTCAGTACTTACTCACTCACTCACTCACTCACTCACTCATGTTTTCCTCTATTCAATATTTATTGATATTTAAATATTAAGTTTGTTCTGAATGATATCATTAATTTCTCCTGGTGTATTCTCCAAGGTTGCTACAATTGTTTATTTTTCATATATTTTCTGTATTTTTTGAACCAGGCTCGTTATCAAAAGGTTGAGGAGGATTATCTGTACAAGCAGGGTGTGCGTAGACCAGAATATTCATCCGCTTACCATTTCGCATGGAAATTCTATTCCAAGAGCAAGAGTTTTGTTAAGATAATGCAGGGCGAAGGGAAGTTCTCCTGTGAGAAGGACGGGATTGTTCTTGCTCGCTACATCATCCAAGGGGAGGAGCTGATAAAGGGACAGACGACCCTGGACTTTTTCTATCTGGTAAGGTTAAAGGGATTTTCCACTCAAAATAGATCCTAACCTTTTTCCACTTTGTCTGTAGTTTTGGGATATAATTGTACTTACTTTGGTATTTGATTGTCATATTGTGTTGCGTCTGGAAATATTTTAAGAATGGCTCGGGCAAACCATACAGTACTTTACATGCAGTTGAAAAGTTAATCATGGGTGATATACAGTAATTAACACTTTAATAATGCAGTAACTTCAAGATATTTGCTAGGAGATCTCCCAGTTTTAGCCAATGTTCCTGTCTCCCTGGTTCGTTCTCTGGTTATTAATGTTGATGCTACCACCTGGCTGTCTCTTATGTCCCAGGTTATATCTAGAGGCAGCATTCAGCAGCATGGCCGTCTTCCTGTGACCGTTAAAGAAGGAAAAGGTAAATAAATTGGACTTGGATTCTCCCGACTGCTTCCTGACATTTTATATTTAGGACTTCTTAGAACCCCACTTGATTAGAGAACATATCTCCTCGAAAGGCCTAATGGCATTAAACTGGCATGGGATAAATCTGTCACGACTGGATTAAATCATCCAGATTACATCTTCAATACAAGCTCTTACTTCACAGTGCACAGTATATTTCAATTTCATAGACTAGTCACAGAACACTGTCTGTATTGGATGCTCGGTGGCTTACGGTGAGCTAATGTCCATCCCTTTGTCTGTCTCTCATTTCAGTTAATCAAGGGGAGCTGACGCTCTCGCTGCAGCGGATGCCTGAGCTGACCCCTTTTGCCCAGGTGGTGGTGTACACCGTGTTGCCTGATGGGGAGGCAGTAGCAGACAGCCGAGACTTCCCCATTCACCTCTGCCTGAAAAACCAGGTAGGCAACTAGGCACCTTTGCCAGCTACCTGAGATGTCAAAATGTCTCATCAGAGAGCCTGAGCCGTATGGATATATCGGGGCAACGTGCACTACAATCGATTTCCAAAAGGACTTTGCATCAAACTATGATATGAAATGCTTCAACTGCTCCTCTTTTGATCATCAAATCTGTTGGGTCTGTTTCTGTCCCTCTACACAGTACTCTAGCAGTATTATGTTGTGGGCTCTGTTCCAATATTCACCTCAGTATGCTACTGTACTTGAAATGAACCAAAGTGTTTGACATGTATGCTAGTATACAGTGCCTTCGGAAAGCATTCACACCCCTTTATTTCCCCCCCATTTTGTTGTTACAGCCTGAATTTAAAATTGATTTAATTGAGATTTGTCCACTGATCTACACACAGTACCCATAATGTCAAACATGGAATTTTGTTTGTAGAACATTTTAGAAATTAATAAAAAATTAAAAGTCTAAGTATTCAACCCCTTTGTTATGGCAAGTCTAAATAAGTTCAGGAGTAAAAATGTGCTTAACAAATCACATAATAAGTTGCATGGACTCATTCTGTGTTCAATGATATTATTTAACATGATTTTTGAATGACTACACCATCTCTGTACCCCACATATACAATTATCTGTAAGGTCCCTCAATTGAGTAGTGAATTTCAAGCACAGATTCAACCACAAAGACCAGGGAGATTTTTCAATGCCTCGCAAAGAAGGGCACCGATTGTCTGCTAAATTAACTAGTGTAGCCCACAGCCATTTGCCACATCAGGACCTAACATAAGGACAACTCAGAGTATGCTATTCTTTTCTTCTGAAATAAACTACATTTTCTTTATATCATGCTTCTTTAGACCTGTCTAAAATAAATAATGGATTTATTGTGAAGGTGTAGGATATATTACATGGATTTATTAGACTTTTTAAAATGGCTTGTAGGCTATGTTTGGAAGCCAGGAGATGCTAAATGTGTTTATGTTAATTAATGGTCAATTACCGTGAGACCGACAGTTATTTGCTTGACAATCACCGGCTGACCAAATTTCATGACTGCCACAGCCCTAGGTGTGCAAAGCTCAAAGACTCACAGCTGTAATTGCCGCCAAAGGTGCTTATACAAAGTATCGACTCGGGTGAAATACTTACAGTGAGGGGAAAAAAGTATTTGATCCCACTGACAAAGACATGATCAGTCTATAATTTTAATGGTAGGTTTATTTGAACAGTGAGAGACAGAATAACAACAACAAAATCCAGAAAAACGCATGTAAAAAATGTTATAAATTGATTTGCATTTTATTGAGGGAAATAAGTATTTGACCCCTCTGCAAAACATGACTTAGTACTTGGTGGCAAAACCCTTGTTGGCAATCACAGAGGTCAGACGTTTCTTGTAGTTGGCCACCAGGTTTGCACACATCTCAGGAGGGATATGTCCCACTCCTCTTTGCAGATCTTCTCCAAGTCATTAAGGTTTCGAGCCTGACGTTTGGCAACTCGAACCTTCAGCTCCCTCCACAGATTTTCTATGGCATTAAGGTCTGGAGACTGGCTAGGCCACTCAAGGACCTTAATGTGCTTCTTCTTGAGCCACTCCTTTGTTGCCTTGGCCGTGTGTTTTGGGTCATTGTCATGCTGGAATACCCATCCACGACCCATTTTCAATGCCCTGGCTGAGGGAAGGAGGTTCTCACCCAAGATTTGATGGTACATGGCCCCGTCCATCGTCCCTTTGATGCGGTGAAGTTGTCCTGTCCCCTTAGCAGAAAAACACCCCCAAAGCATAATGTTTCCGCCTCCATGTTTGACGGTGGGGATGGTGTTCTTGGGGTCATAGGCAGCATTCCTCCTCCTCCAAACACGGCGAGTTGAGTTGATGCCAAAGAGCTCCATTTTGGTCTCATCTGACCACAACACTTTCACCCAGTTCTCCTCTGAATCATTCAGATGTTCATTGGCAAACTTCAGACGGCCCTGTATATGTGCTTTCTTGAGCAGGGGGACCTTGCGGGCACTGCAGGATTTCAGTCCTTCACGGCGAAGTGTGTTACCAATTGTTTTCATGGTGACTATGGTCCCAGCTGCCTTGAGATCATTGACAAGATCCTCCCGTGTAGTTCTGGGTTGATTCCTCACCGTTCTCATGATCATTGCAACTCCGCGAGGTGAGATCTTGCATGGAGTCCCAGGCCGAGGGAGATTGACAGTTCTTTTGTGTTTCTTCCATTTGCGAATAATCGCACCAACTGTTGTCACCTTCTCACCAAGCTGCTTGGCGATGGTCTTGTAGCCCATTCCAGCCTTGTGTAGGTCTACAATCTTGTCCCTGACATCCTTGGAGAGCTCTTTGGTCTTGGCCATGGTGGAGAGTTTGGAGTCTGATTGATTGATTTCTTCTGTGGACAGGTGTCTTTTATACAGGTAACAAACTGAGATTAGGAGCACTCCCTTTAAGAGTGTGCTCCTAATCTCAGCTCGTTACCTGTATAAAAGACACCTAGGAGACAAATCTTTCTGATTGAGAGGGGGTCAAATACTTATTTCCCTCATTTAAAATGCAAATCAATTTAACATTTTTGACATGTGTTTTTCTGGATTTTTTTGTTGTTATTCTGTCTCTCACTGTTCAAATAAACCTACCATTACAATTATAGACTGATCATTTCTTTGTCAGTGGGCAAACATACAAAATCAGCAGGGGATCAAATACTTTTTTCCCTCACTGTATGTAAATTAGATTTCTGTATTTCATTTTAAATACATTTCTAAAAATGTGTTTTCACTTTGTCATTATGGGGTTGTGTGTGTGAGAGAAAAAAAAACATATTTAATCCATTTTGAATTCAGGCTGTAACACAACAAAATGTGGAATAAGTCAAGAGGTATGAATACTTTCTGAAGGCACTGTAGATATATTTATGAAGCAATGTGTTGGACATGTATTCTAAGTGGTATGCTAGTATAGGTATATTTAAACATAGCTGTGGTGTCTCCCTCTTTTCGCCTCTCCAGGTGTCGCTGACGTTCTCGTCCCTCCAGGAGTTGCCAGGGGAGAAGACCTCTCTGAGCCTCCAGGCCCACCCAGGGTCTCTGTGTTCTCTCAGGGCCATTGACCAGAGTGTGCTGCTGCTACAGCCTGAACAGGAGCTCAGCCTAGACTCTGTACGTTCTCCATGGCTGCGTCCCAAATTGCACCCTATTCCCTTTGTAGTACACAACTTTTGACCAGGGCCACATATGGGTCTGGTCAAAAGTGGTGCACTATATTGGAAATAGGGTGCCATTTGGGACAGGACACAGCCCATCACACATTCACTTACTAACTGTTGACTCACCACACTGAGCTGATCACACATCCTCTTTTGGCATTGTTTTTGTGCATCCATGTATTTCAAGATAGGATTCAGCTCACTTTCAGCTTCCTCTGACCATGTATTAACCACTGTCTGATACTTAAAGTTCAGAAGTTTTAACTTGGGACTATTTCGTTGATTCTCTTGTACCACTCAAGCTAAATCAAGTGCAGATCCAGGATTTGCCATATGTATTTAACCCAGGTGTTATCCTATGCACTGACCTTGTCCTGACTATGTACTGACCCTGTAACCACTTTCTGATCACACTCTGACCATGCACCGACCACGCTCTGACCATGTCAAGATGTTGTGGATTACATCTCTCTCTGCAGGTCTTCAGTCAGCTGCCTGTTCAGAAGTTGTCTGGATATTCATACAGAGTAGAAGACTTTGACACCTACCCATGCCAACCATTTCCTCCAATCATTGAAGAGGAGATGGAAGTGCTCCCTGCACCTGTACCTAAACTGAGCGAGGAGTTTGAAGCACCACCCGTACCTAATAGGAAAAAACGCTCATTCTGGTTTCGCCCCAACAACGAAAAAAACGATGTTTACCACATCTTTAAAGTAAGAGGCTCAAATAAGTTTGCTGTTTTTGTCTGTTTAGAATATGGAAAATGTATAAATAAATACTTAATATTTAAGTAAGAAAGTAGACACTGAATTAATTGAACTGGAATGCGGTCTGTGAAGACCTATAGTGCCTAGCGAAAGTATTCATCCCCCTTGGCGTTTTTCCTATTTTGTTGCATTACAACCTGTAATTTAAATTGATTTTATTTGTTAATGTAATGGACATACACAAAATAGTCAAAATTTGGTGAAGTGGAAAGAAAAAAATTACTTGTTTCAAAAAAGTAAAAAAATAGAATAACGGAAAAGTGATGCGTGCATATGTATTCACCCCCTTTGCTATGAAGCCCCTAAATAAGATCTGGTGCAACCAATTACCTTCCGAAGTCACATAATTAGTTAGATTAAACACAGGTGGACTTTATTTAAGTGTCACATGATCTCAGTATGTGTGTGTGTATGTATACAGTGGGGGAAAAAATTATTTATTCAGCCACCAATTGTGCAAGTTCTCCCACTTAAAAAGATGAGAGAGGCCTGTAATTTTCATCATAGGTACACGTCAACTATGACAGACAAAATGAGAAAAAAAATTCCAGAAAATCACATTGTAGGATTTGTAATGAATTTATTTGCAAATTATGGTGGAAAATAAGTATTTGGTCAATAACAAAAGTTTCTCAATACTTTGTTATATACCCTTTGTTGGGAATGACACAGGTCAAACGTTTTCTGTAAGTCTTCACAAGGTTTTCACACACTGTTGCTGGTATTTTGGCCCATTCCTCCATGCAGATCTCCTCTAGAGCAGTGATGTTTTGGGGCTGTCGCTGGGCAACACGGACTTTCAACTCCCTCCAAAGATTTTCTATGGGGTTGAGATCTGGAGACTGGCTAGGCCACTCCAGGACCTTGAAATGCTTCTTACGAAGCCACTCCTTCGTTGCCCGGGCGGTGTGTTTGGGATCATTGTCATGCTGAAAGACCCAGCCACGTTTCATCTTCAATGCCCTTGCTGATGGAAGGAGGTTTTCACTCAAAATCTCACGATACATGGCCCCATTCATTCTTTCCTTTACACGGATCAGTCGTCCTGGTCCCTTTGCAGAAAAACAGCCCCAAAGCATGATGTTTCCACCCCCAAGCTTCACAGTGGGTATGGTGTTCTTTGGATGCAACTCAGCATTCTTTGTCCTCCAAACACGACGAGTTGAGTTTTACCAAAAAGTTCTATTTTGGTTTCATCTGACCATATGACATTCTCCCAATCCTCTTCTGGATCATCCAAATGCACTCTAGCAAACTTCAGACGGGCCTGGACATGTACTGGCTTAAGCAGGGGGACACGTCTGGCACTGCAGGATTTGAGTCCCTGGCGGCGTAGTGTGTTACTGATGGTAGGCTTTGTTACTTTGGTCCCAGCTCTCTGCAGGTCATTCACTAGGTCCCCCCGTGTGGTTCTGGGATTTTTTGCTCACCGTTCTTGTGATCATTTTGACCCCACGGGGTGAGATCTTGCGTGGAGCCCCAGATCGAGGGAGATTATCAGTGGTCTTGTATGTCTTCCATTTCCTAATAATTGCTCCCACAGTTGATTTCTTCAAACCAAGCTGCTTACCTATTGCAGATTCAGTCTTCCCAGCCTGGTGCAGGTCTACAATTTTGTTTCTGGTGTCCTTTGACAGCTCTTTGGTCTTGGCCATAGTGGAGTTTGGAGTGTGACTGTTTGAGGTTGTGGACAGGTGTCTTTTATACTGATAACAAGTTCAAACTTGTCTGTCATAGTTGACGTGTACCTATGATGAAAATTACAGGCCTCTCTCATCTTTTTAAGTGGGAGAACTTGCACAATTGGTGGCTGACTAAATATTTTTTTCCCCCACTGTGTGTGTGTGTATATGTATATATATATATATATATATATATATATATATATATATATATATATATATATATATATATATATATATATATATATATATATATATATATACATACTGCTCAAAAAAGGGAACACTTAAACAACACATTGTAACTCCAAGTCAATCACACTTCTGTGAAATCAAACTGTCCACTTAGGAAGCAACACTGATTGACAATACATTTCACATGCTGTTGTGCAAATGGAATAGACAACAGGTGGAAATGATAGGCAATTAGCAAGACACCCCCAATAAGGACTGGTTTTGCAGGAGGTGACCACAGACCACTTCTCAGTTCCAGTGCTTCCTGGCTGATGTTTTGGTCACTTTAGAATGCTTGCGGTGCTTTCACTCTAGTGGTAGCATGAGACGGAGTCTACAACCCACACAAGTGGCTCAGGTAGTGCAGCTCATCCAGGATGGCACATCAATGCGAGCTGTGGCAAGAAGGTTTTCTGTGTCTGTCAGCGTAGTGTCCAGAGCATGGAGGCGCTACCAGAAGACAGGCCAGTACATCAGGAGACGTGGAGGAGGCCGTAGGAGGGCAACAACCCAGCAGCAGGACTGCTACCTCCGCCTTTGTGCAAGGAGGAGCAGGAGGAGCACTGCCAGAGCCCTGCAAAATGACCTCCAGCAGGCCACAAATGTGCATGTGTCTGCTCAAACGGTCAGAAACAGACTCCATAAGGGTGGTATGAGGGCCCAACGTCCACAGGTGGGGGTTGTGCTTACAGCCCAACACCGTGCAGGATGTTTGGCATTTGCCAGAGAACACCAAGATTGGCAAATTCGCCACTGGCGCCCTGTGCTCTTCACAGATGAAAGCAGGTTCACACTGAGCACATGTGACAGAGTCTGGAGACGCCGTGGAGAACGTTCTGCTGCCTGCAACATCCTCCAGCATGACCGGTTTGGCGGTAGGTCAGTCATGGTGTGGGGTGGCATTTCTTTGGGGGGCCGCACAGCCCTCCATGTGCTCGCCAGAGGTAGCCTGACTGCCATTAGGTACCGAGATGAGATCCTCAGACCCCTTGTGAGACCATATGCTGGTGCGGTTGGCCCTGGGTTCCTCCTAATGCAAGACAATGCTAGACCTCGTGGCTGGAGTGTGTCAGCAGTTCCTGCAAGAGCAAGGCATTGATGCTATGGACTGGCCCGCCCGTTCCCCAGACCTGAATCCAATTGAGCACATCTGGGACATCATGTCTCGCTCCATCCACCAATGCCACGTTGCACCACAGACTGTCCAGGAGTTGGCGGATGCTTTAGTCCAGGTCTGGGAGGAGATCCCTCAGGAGCCCATCCGCCACCTCATCAGGAGCATGCCCAGGCGTTGTAGGGAGGTCATACAGGCACGTGGAGGCCACACACACTACTGAGCCTAATTTTGACTTGTTTTAAGGACATTACATCAAAGTTGGATCAGCCTGTAGTGTGGTTTTCCACTTTAATTTTGAGGGTGACTCCAAATCCAGACCTCCATGGTTTGATACATTTGATTTCCATTGATAATTTGTGTGATTTTGTTGTCAGCACATTCAACTATGTAAAGAAAAAAGTATTTAATACGATTATTTCATTCATTCAGATCTAGGATGTGTTATTTTAGTGTTCCCTTTATTTTTTGGAGCTGTAGATATATATATATATATATATATATATATACACACACACAGTGGGGAGAACAAGTATTTGATACACTGCCAATTTTGCAGGTTTTCCTACTTACAAAGCATGTAGAGGTCTGTAATTTTTATCATAGGTACACTTCAACTGTGAGAGACATAATCTAAAACAAAAATCCAGAAAATCACATTGTATGATTTTTAAGTAATTTATTTGCATTTTATTGCATGACATAAGTATTTGATCACCTACCAACCAGTAAGAATTCTGGCTCTCACATACCTGTTAGTTTTTCTTTAAGAAGCCCTCCTGTTCTCCACTCATTACCTGTATTAACTGCACCTGTTTGAACTCGTTACCTGTATAAAAGACACCTGTCCACACACTCAATCAAACAGACTCCAACCTCTCCACAATGGCCAAGACCAGAGAACTGTGTAAGGACATCAGGGATAAAATTGTAGACCTGCACAAGGCTGGGATGGGCTACAGGACAATAGGCAAGCAGCTTGGTGAGAAGGCAACAACTGTTGGCACAATTATTAGAAAATGGAAGAAGTTCTAGATGACGGTCAATCACCCCCGGTCTGGGGCTCCATGCAAGATCTCACCTCGTGGGGCATCAATGATCATGAGGAAGGTGAGGGATCAGCCCAGAACTACACGGCAGGACCTGGTCAATGACCTGAAGAGAGCTGGGACCACAGTCTCAAAGAAAACCATTAGTAACACACTACGCCGTCATGGATTAAAATCCTGCAGCGCACGCAAGGTCCCCCTGCTCAAGCCAGCGCATGTCCAGGCCCGTCTGAAGTTTGCCAATGACCATCTGGATGATCCAGAGGAGGAATGGGAGAAGGTCATGTGGTCTGATTAGACCAAAAAGCTATATTTTGTCTCAACTCCACTCGTTGTGTTTGGAGGAAGAAGAAGGATGAGTACAACCCCAAGAACACCATCCCAACCGTGAAGCATGGAGGTGGAAACATCATTCTTTGGGGATGCTTTTCTGCAAAGGGGACAGGTCGACTGCACCGTATTGAGGGGAGGATGGATGGGGCGATGTATTGCGAGATCTTGGCCAACAACCTCCTTCCCTCAGTAAGAGCATTGAAGCCTTGAACCTCAAACAGTCACACTCCAAACTCCACTATGGCCAAGACCAAAGAGCTGTCAAAGGACACCAGAAACAAAATTGTAGACCTGCACCAGGCTGGGAAGACTGAATCTGCAATAGGTAAGCAGCTTGGTTTTAAGAAATCAACTGTGGGAGCAATTATTAGGAAATGGAAGACATACAAGACCACTGATAATCTCCCTCGATCTGGGGCTCCACGCAAGATCTCACCCCGTGGGGTCAAAATGATCACAAGAACGGTGAGCAAAAATCCCAGAACTACACTGGGGGACCTAGTGAATGACCTGCAGAGAGCTGGGACCAAAGTAACAAAGCCTACCATCAGTAACACACTACGCCGCCAGGGACTCAAATCCTGCAGTGCAAGACGTGTCCCCCTGCTTAAGCCAGTACATGTCCAGGCCCGTCTGAAGTTTGCTAGAGTGCATTTGGATGATCCAGAAGAGGATTGGGAGAATGTCAGATGAAACCAAAATAGAACTTTTTGGTAAAAACTCAACTCGTCGTGTTTGGAGGACAAAGAATGCTGAGTTGCATCTAAAGAACACCATACCTACTGTGAAGCATGGGGGTGGAAACATCATGCTTTGGGGCTGTTTTTCTGCAAAGGGACCAGGATGACTGATCCGTGTAAAGGAAAGAATGAATGGGTATCTGTCCATAGGACCACTTTAAGCCGTACACGCCACAGAGTTGGGCTTTACGGAAGAGTGGCCAGAAAAAAGCCATTGCTCAAAAAAATAAATAAGCAAACACGTTTGGTGTTCGCCATAAGGCATGTGGGAGAAGAAGGAACTCTGGTGAGATGAGACAAAAATTGAGCTTTTTGGCCATCAAGGAAAACGCTATGCCTGGCGCAAACCCAACACCTCTCGATGCATCGCCCAAGAAGCATGATCTAGACCCATCCTCTGTGAAGCATGGGGACATTGTGGGGTGTTTTTATGCAAAGGGAACTGGTGACAATCGGTCAAAATGAAGGAAAAGGGATGGCGTTCATAGACCAGGAACTTTGAGGAAACCGTTTCAGTCCACAGAGATTTGGGCTTCGGAGAGGTGGCAAAACAGGCAATGACCCTAAGCATATTAAAAAACACTAGGTGGTTTAAGGGGAAAGATAAATGTTTGGAATGGTAAGTCAGCAGACCAACAATGGAAGCTTGTGGTAACTAAACGCTATGCTGCACCCAAAACCCATCCAACTGACAGCCGGAGAAGTTCCCCTTGAAGAATGGTGAAATGCCAGTGCAGTGTGGGTAAGCTTTAAGGCATGACCGGGAAACTGAGCAAAATTGCTGAGAAAGGATGGCTTAATACAAAGTATTGACTTGGTGGGGAGGGGGGTGTTGCGGGGGTGGAGACGGGACGGGGTTCGGGGGGGGGGGGGGGGGGGGGGTGGGTGAATAGTTATGCACGATCAAGTGTTCTGTTTTTTTGTCTTATTTCTTGTTTGTTTCACAAAAAATATATTTTGCATCTGCAAAGTGGTAGGCATGTTGTGTAAATCAAATGATACAAACCCCCCAAAATCCATTTTAATTCCAGGTTGTAAGGCAACAAAATAGGAAAAATGCCAAGGGGGGTGAATACTTTCGCAAGCAACTGTATACACCGTAATTTCAAAAATGTTCGGGTTTTTAAACTAATACCCACATAATTTAGCAAAACTGAAATACGGCATGATAAAATAGCCTTTACTCCCGGACACTGTTTTACCATTTTCTGTACTTCTCATTTTAGGAAGTTGGAATCAAGATCCTGACAAACTCCGACGTGAAAAAACCTTACGACTGTCACATACTATCTATAATGCAATATGGCAGAACCGAAGAAAGTATGATATATTCTAATGTGCGAACTTTTCTAGTCTTAACCTAATACAGTGAGGGGAAAAATGTATTTGATCCCCTGCTGATTTTGTACGTTTGCCCACTGACAAAGACTTGATCAGTCTATACTTTTAATGGTAGGTTTATTTGAACAGTGAGAGACAGAATAACAAAAACAAAATCCAGGAAAACGCATGTCAAAAATGTTATAAATTGATTCGCATTTTAATGAGGGAAATAAATATTTGACCCCTCTGCAAAACATGATTTAGTACCTGGTGGCAAAACCCTTTTTGGCAATCACAGAGGTCAGACGTTTCTTGTAGTTGGCCACCAGGTTTGCACACATCTCAGGTGGGATTTTGTCCCACTCCTCTTTGCAGATCTTCTCCAAGTCATTAAGGTTTCGAGGCTGATGTTTGGCAACTCAAACCTTCAGCTCCCTCCACAGATTTTCTATATGATTAAGGTCTGGGGACTGGCTAGGCCACTCCAGGACCTTAATGTGCTTCTTCTTGAGCTACTCCTTTGTTGCCTTGGCCGTGTGTTTTGGGTCATTGTCATGCTGGAATACCCATCTACGACCTATTTTCAATGCCCTGGCTGAGGGAAGGAGGTTCTCACCCAAGATTTGACGGTACATGGCCCCGTCCCTTTGATGCGGGGAAGTTGTCCTGTCCCCTTAGCAGAAAAACACCCCCAAAGCATAGTGTTTTCACCTCCATGTTTGACAGTGGGGATGGTGTTCTTGGGGTCATAGATAGCATTCCTCCTTCTCCAAACACGGCGAGTTGAGTTGATACGAAAGAGCTCAATTTTGGTCTCATCTGACCACAACACTTTCACCCAGATCTCCTCTGAATCATTCAAACTTCAGACGGGCATGAATATGTGCTTTCTTGAGCAGGGGGACCTTGCGGGCGCTGCAGGATTTCAGTCCTTCACGGCGTAGTGTGTTACCAATTGTTTTCTTGGTGAGTATGGTCCCAGCTGCCTTGAGATCATTGACAAGATCCTCCTGTGTAGTTCTGGGCTGATTCCTCACCGTTCTCATGATCATTGCAACTCCACGAGGTGAGATCTTGCATGGAGCTCCAGGCCGAGGGAGATTGAAAGTTATTTTGTGTTTCTTCCATTTGCGAATAATCGCACCAACTGTTGTCACCTTCTCACCAAGGTGCTTGGCGATGGTCTTGTAGCCCATTCCAGCCTTGTGTAGGTCTACAATCTTGTCCCTGACATCCTTGGAGAGCTCTTTGATCTTGGCCATGGTGGAGAGTTTGGAATCTGATTGATTGATTGCTTCTGTGGACAGGTGTCTTTTATACAGGTAACAAACTGAGATTCGGAGCACTCCCTTTAAGAGTGTGCTCCTAATCTCAGCTCGTTACCTGTATAAAAGACACCTGGGAGCCAGAAATCTTTCTGATTGAGAGGGGTCAAATACTTATTTCCCTCAATAAAATGCTAATCAATTTATAACATTTTTGACATGCGTTTTTCAGGATTTTTTTGTTGTTATTCTTTCTCTCACTGTTCAAATAAACCTACCATTAAAATGATAGACTGATCATTTCTTTGTCAGGGAGCAAATGTACAAAATCAGCAGGGGATCAAAAACTTTTTTCCCTCACTGTAAAGGATTAGTTTCTATTTACAGATGTCCGTTTGAAATCAGTAGATGAAAGTGATGCTCCAGTGTCAATGGCCAACATGATGCCAGACCACTCAGCAGCTGGAGCCTCTGAAGGGCCTAAGGAGACCGTCCGCACATACTTCCCAGAGACCTGGATCTGGGACCTGGTGCCTGTGGGGTAAGCATTGTAACAGACACCATATTTGTAGTCCATTTATATTTAGTTTAACGCACATCCCTTTTCATGGGGTGCTAAGCTGACAATGCCTTGTAATAGGGTAATACTGAAACTACAGGCAGGTTTTTGTCCAAGGGGTACATTTGTCAGGGGGGGTTGGGAGAATGTTTTATTTATTGAATTGACCATTAATCATGTGTTCCAATGTTAATATACATTTTGTGTTTTTATTGCACCCTTTTCACCACCACCAGAGATACAGGAAAAGTGAATGTTGAGAAGACTGTTCCAGACACCATCACTAAGTGGGCTGCAGGGGCGTTCTGTACTTCCCCAGTGGGTTTTGGCCTGGCTCCCAACACTGGCCTCACTGCCTTCCAACCCTTCTTTGTGAGCCTGACACTGCCCTACTCTGTCATCCGGGGGGAGGTGTTCACACTCAAGGCCACAGTGTTCAACTACCTCTCCAAGTGTATCATGGTAAGCCCTCCCAGTATTGTCTCTTTCTTTACCTCTCTAGTCCCACTTCATTTGGATAGTCCCTGTAGACAATCTGTAGATGCTCTGATGTTTTAAGGACGAGAGAAGAGCGGACGCATGGATCTAGGAAAGACTTGAGATTGACCCCATGTGTTTCTCCTAGGTGAAGGTGACTCTAGCTGAGTCGGACCAGTTCACAGCCAGGCCATGTGAAGGCTGCCAGTACACCCTGTGTCTGTGTGCTGAGGAGAGCAGGACCTTCAAGTGGATCCTCACCCCAACTGCTCTGGGTGAGCCATACAGTACTCTGTCAATCTATCACAATGCTATTGCGATAGACTCTCCCAATTTACTCCCTGCACCTTGGCCCTAGCCCCCTAACCCTTCTGTAAGGTGTAAGAAATATGGTGGTAACTCCACCATGGTGGTAACTCCACTGCTTATACCTATCCATACCCTTAATTCATGCAAATGTTGAAGGGGAGGGGTAGGACGGGAATTGTGCCGTCTGTGGTACCACTGTGGTGCCTAAGGACAGGGTTGTTTACTTTGCACAGCTCTCGTCAGACTGAAATTTAAGAATATTCATTATTTATCTTATAGACATGGCTCAAATGAATTCCTTGTAGCTCAGTTGGTAGAGCATGGCGCTTGCAACGCCAATGTTGTGGGTTCGTTTCCCACGGTGGGCCAGTATGAACATGTATGCACTCACTAACTGTAAGTCGCTCTGGATAAGAGCGTCTGCTAAATGACTAAAATGTAAGTCAGAAGTTTACATAAACGTTAGCTAAATACATTTAAACTCAGTTTTTCACAATTCCTGACATTTAATCCTAGTAAATACTGTCTTAGCTCAGTTAGGATCACACCTTTATTTTAAGATTGTGAAATGTCAGAATAATAGTAGAGTGATTTATTTCAGCTTTTATTTCTTTCATCACATTCCCAGTGGGTCAGAAGTGTACATACACTCAATTAGTATTTGGTAGCATTGCCTTTAAATTGTTTAACTTGGGTCAAACGTTTCGGGTAGCCTTCCACAAGCTTCCCACAATAAGTTGGGTGAATTTTGGCCCATTTCCTCCTGACAGAGCTGGTGTAACTGAGTCAGGTTTGTAGGCCTCCTTGCTCGCACACGCTTTTCCAGTTCTGCCCACAATTGTTCTATAGGATTGAGGTCAGGGCTTTGTGATGACCACTCCAATACCTTGACTTTGTTGTCCTTAAGCCATTTTGCCACAACTTTGGAAGTATGCTTGGGGTCATTGTCCATTTGAAAGACCCATTTGCGACCAAGCTTTAACTTCCTGACTGATGTCTTGAGATGTTGCTTCAATAGATCCACATAATTTATCTCCCGAGTGGCGCAGGGGTCTAAGAAGCTGTGCCACTAGAGATCCTGGTTCGAATCCAGGCTCTGTCGTAGCCGGCCGCGACCGGGAGACGCTGGGCCAATTGTGATTACCACGCGGGGCCAGTATGAAAAAAAATAAAAAATAATGTATGCACTCACTGTAAGTCGCTCTGGATAAGAGCGTCTGCTAAATGACTAAAATGTAAATGTAATAATTTTCCTTTCTCATGATGCCATCTATTTTGTGAAGTACACCAGTCCCTCCTGCAGCAAAGCACCCCCACAGCATGATGCTGCCACCCCCGTGCTTCACGGTTGGGATGGTGTTCTTCGGCTGGCAAGCCACACCCGTTTTCCTCCAAACATAACGATGGTCATTATGGCCAAACAGTTCTATTTTTGTTTCATCAGACAAGAGGACATTTCTCCAAAAAGTACGATCTTTGTCCCCATGTGCAGTTGCAAACCGTAGTCTGGCTTCTTTATGGCGGTTTTGGAGCAGTGGCTTCTTCCTTGCTTAGCGGCCTTTCAGGTTATGTCGATATAGGACTCGTTTTACTGTGGATATAGATATTTTTGTACCTGTTTCCTCCAGCATCTTCACAAGGTCCTTTGCTGTTGTTCTGGGATTGATTTGCACTTTTCGCACCAAAGTACGTTCATCTCTAGGAGACAGAACACTTCTCCTTCCTGAGCGGTATGACGGCTGCGTGGTCCCATAGTGTTTATACTTGCGTACTATTGTTTGTACAGATGAACGTGGTACCTTCAGGCGTTTGGAAATTGCTCCCAAGGATGAACCAGACTTGTGGAGGTCTACAATTTATTTTCTGTGGTCTTGGCTGATTTCTTTTGATTTTCCCATGATGTCAAGCAAAGAGGCAATGAGTTTGAAGGTAGGCCTTGAAATACATCCACAGGTACACCTCCAATTGACTCAAATTATGTCAATTAGCCTATCAGAAGCTTCTAAAGCCATGACATCATTTTATGTAAACAATTGTTGGAAAAATTACTTGTGTCATGCACAAAGTAGATGTCCTAACCGACTTGCCAAAACTATAGTTTGTTAACAAGAAATTTGTGGAGTGGTTGAAAAACTAGTTTTAATGACTCCAACCTAAGTGTATGTAAACTTCTGACTTCAACTGTATATCCTAGCCCTGTAAAGACATTTTGACAATCGCTTGTACTTACAAGTCAAGAGGGATATCTGATGGCATGCTCAGGAAGATCTCCCTCAGGGGGTATCCGTGGTTATAGGAGAAAGGGAGGGAGGGAACGAGGGAATGAGAGAGGGAAGGAACGACGGAAGGAATGAGGGGGGGTAGAACGAACGAACGAGGAGGGAGGGAGGGAACAGTTGAGCCAGGGTACATGAGTGACTGAGAGGAGAGGCTATAGGAAGAGAGGGTAAGAGGGAGCAAGCTGAGGGAGGGGCAGGTTAATGGGTGACTGGTCTAGACTTGCATGTTTATGTCTCCCTGGCCTGAACTATAGGGGAGGTGAGTGTGAAAGTGAGCGCTGAGGCGTTGAAGACTGAGGAGCTCTGCGGCAACGAGGTGGCCACAGTGCCAGAGAGAGGACGCATTGACACCATTGTGCAAACACTGCTGGTGGAGGTGAGTGTCTGTCCTGTATAGCAAGTCTACGATTCAGGTCTAAAACATTTAATTAACCTTTAAGTGTTTACCATATAAATTCTATAATAGAATGAATTACAGTTGTCATCATTAGACCGTTTTATTTTGGTACTGAAGAAAGCCAGTAGTCTCTTTTCTCAATGTCGCTTTCCTTCTATTAGGCCGAGGGAACCCAGGAGACGGTCAGCCACAACGCTCTGCTCTGCCCTGCAGGTAATCTCCTGACCTCTATCAGTCATACTTTCTCATAATTACCCCGATGATTAAGTTGTTTTGGTTTAGATTACAGATATGTTTTAAGTGGTTATAACGGTTCTCAAGTAACTCAGTCTGTCTCGTTTATCTGTCTCCTGTCATCAGAGGGCCCAGTGGAGAAGGACATCTCTCTGAAGCTGCCTGAGGTGTTTGTGGAGGGCTCTGCCAAGGCCTCCCTTTCAGTACTGGGTGAGAATACTCCCATCTGTTTTGCTGAGTTTTCACACCTAATTCTTAATTTTTACAAACATTTTCAGGATATGTTTTCCATTTGGGTGCAGATGAAGTGTAGGCAAGGATTGTTCATCCCTCTATTCATGACGAGGGAAGTGGATATTCAACTATTCAACCTGCAGATCTATGATTGCCTTAAGGTTATGGGTGAGGATCGGGATAACCGTTGGTTAATTTTAGGGTTAGGGTAAGAAACCGGGATCTGCCGGTCGAATATATACACTGCCATTGACTAGAGACCTATGTTTGATTGTTGGTCTCTTTCACCAGGTGACCTGATGGGTCGGGCCATGAAGAACCTGGACAGCCTGTTGCAGATGCCCTATGGCTGTGGAGAGCAGAACATGGTGCTGTTTGCTCCCAACATCTACATCCTCAACTACCTGCAGAGCACCAGGCAGCTCACCATGGAGATCCAGACCAGGGCCACAGGCTTCCTAGAGAGTGGTGAGTGAGCTGGGTCCGGTTCAGTAAGGCACAACATGGCCAAACTGTTTTAAAATATGTTGCAACGAAAAACAAGCAATTATTATCAGACATGTTCAGTTACAGCCTGCACTCCCCGTTTTACTCAATAAAAATGTTAAAATATCCCTACTGGACACAACCCTGGTGAAATGGACTGCTATCTATTCTGAAGACTAATGCTTAATTTAATTTAATGCATAGAATGGGATATGACAAGATAATTTACTGTAAGCCTTGTACTTTTTTAAATAATGAGCTGTGATTTAAAGGACTCTGCAAAGATTAACACTCTGACAGTTTGTGCTGTCTGATCATTTTTCTGTGTGCATCTCAGCTCTGACTAGCAACAACCTGTTGTCTATATTTGGCACTGAACCAGTTAACTGCACCTTGCACATACAATAGAAGTCCCTAGAAGGAGAGTGTTTGTTCATTTGGCCATTTGTGTTGCAGGCTACCAGAGAGAGCTCAACTACAAGCATGACGATGGCTCCTACAGTGCCTTTGGGCAGAGCGATGAGTCTGGAAACACCTGGTCAGTTTAATTGAAGTCCTCACAGTCATAATACCTTCTCATAGATCTTTTTTTGCAGTATGTAATCAAGGTAGGAATGTGATAGTCTCAAATCCATTCTAGTATGTGCTGTGGCAAATATAGAGTTGGCTTCAGCACATACAGTATGGCTACTGTTATCTAGATTATATGATCCATAGTTTAGGTAAGGCTCACCACATCTAGTCCTAGTAACTCCAGTGACATCTGCTCTGTGTCCTCTCAGGCTCACCTCCTTTGTGCTGAAGTCCTTTGGCGGGGCCAAGCCCTACATCTTCGTGGATCCCCACCCACATTGCCCAGGCCAAGGCATGGTTGGCCAGTCACCAGCAGAAGGATGGCTGCATTGCGTCAGTGGGGAAACTCTTCCATAACGGCATGAAGGTAAATGGGACTCAGAGCTCAGTTGGTAATAAGAGGAGGAGGAGGAGGAGGAGTATCCTACTGTTGCCACCAAATGTGAAAAGGTAACGTTGAGGGTAGAGATTCAGCAGGAGGATCTGGTGCAAAAGTGTCCCATTCTATTTACAGTGCAATGTTGGAGTCGGCATAAAATCCTAAATAACTAACAAACCAAATACTTTGTAATAATACATAGTCTAACATCAAATATGTGTACTTTACATAATTCATATTGCACTGACACCTGGGATAGTGTACTGTTAAGGAGGACCTAAGGACCCCACGTGTGCCCCAAAGGAGTACAAAAGAGCACACGCTGAGCACAACAACAATCCCAAGCATGTTTTAGCCAGTCCTGAAAATACACCACCTCCCTAAAGTGACCTCTGTCTGACTAGTCCTGACAAAGTTTTTCCACCGCTGTTCTTTATCTTTGTGCACCATATCATGCGAATATTTTAAACACTGCAATGATTTTTGCCTGATATCGGTTGATATCAGTGTGACTTTGAAACTCTAGCACCTGGGAGTACTGTATGATGTTGGATGAAGTTTACTATCATTCTTTGTTGTCGTAGGGAGGGGTCGGGGATCAGGTGTCGCTCACTGCCTACATCACCGCTGCACTGCTGGAGCTGGATGGCAACACTTCTGTGAGTTATCATCTCTCTTTCCATGTATTAGAATTTGTTAAACAACATCCCTTCGGAAAGTATTCAGACCCTGTTATGATGAGTTTCTGGTATCGAGAAGTTCCGGATGCAAGAGAGTAGTCGACACTCAAACGGGGAGTTGATTCAGTCATTATTTAATGGTTACAATAATGGATTCAATGACCGGCAGTACGGACGTAGCCTCCTGCCATATGAATGACTTCCATACAAAATCTTTCCGTTTATATAATGCTCTCCGAGCTGCTTCTTTATATTATCTGCCAACCATCATTGAGTGTCACTCATCTACCACAATAGCATCCCCATACTTGGTATTGTGTGTCACCCTAGCCAGGCCATTACATCACGTACACCTAAGATTATCACAAGTGGCCCCCAATCTATCGAGGCACACCGACCCTCTGTCACTAACCCGTGACACCAATAACACATGGCGTGTCTTTGTCCTCTGTCCCACATGCAGCTTATGAGTTAACATGCATTAATACATCCTGTATCAAAAGCCGTTATATCAGACCCCTTGACTTTTTCCACATTTTGTTACGTTACAGCCTTATTCTAAAATGGATTACATAGTTTTTCCCCCTTCGTCAATCTACACACAATACCCCATAATGACAAAGCAATTTTCTTTGGAAATTTTGCAAATTTATAAAAAATTAAGTGAAATATCACATTTTACATAAGTATTCAGACTCTTTACTCAGTACTTTGTTGAAGCACCTTTTGGCAGTGATTTCAGCCCCGAGACTTCTTGGGTATGACGCTACAAGCTTGGTACACCTGTATTTGGTGAGTTTCTCCCATTCTTCTCTGCAGATCCTCTCAAGCTCTGTCCGGTTGGATGGGGAGCATTGCTGCACAGCTATTTTCAGGTCTCTCCAGAGATGTTAGATCGGGTTCAAGTCCGGGCTCTGGCTGGGCCACTCAACAACATTCAGAGACTTGTCCCGAAGCCAGTCCTGCATCGTCTTTTCAGTGTGCTTAGGGTCGTTGTCCTGTTGGAAGGTGAACCTTCGCCCCAGTCTGAGGTCCTGAGCGCTCTGGAGCAGGTTTTCATCAAGGATCTCTCTGTACTTTGCTCCGTTCATCTTACCCTCGATCCTGACTGGTCTCCCAGTCCCTGCCGCTGAAAAACATCCCCACAGCATGATACTGCCACCGCCATGCTTCACCGTAGGGATGGTGCCAAGTTTCCTCCAGACGTGACGCTTGGCATTCAGGCCAAAGAGTTACATTTTGGTTTCATCAGACCAGAGAGTCTTGTTTCTCATGGTCTGAGAGTCGTTAGGTGCCTTTTGGCAAACTCCAAGCGTGCTGTCATGTGCCTTTTACTGAGCAGTGGCTTCCCTCTGGCCACTCTACCATAAAGGCCTGACTGGTGGAGTGCTGCATAGATGGTTGTCCTTCTGGAAGGTTTTCCCATCTCCACAGAGGAACATTGGAGCTCTCTGAGTGACCATCAGGTTCTTGGTCACCTCCCTGACCAAGGGCCCTTCTCCCCCTGATTGCTCAGTTTGGCTGGGCGGCCAGCTCTAGTAAGAGTCTTGGTGGTTCCAAACTTCTTCCATTTAAGAATGGAAGCCACTGTGTTCTTAGGGACCTTCAACGCTGCATAAATGTTTTGGTACCCTTCCCCAGATCTGTGCCTCGACACAATCCTATCTCAGAGCTCTACGGACAATTCCTTTGACCTCATGGCATGGTTTTTGCTTTGACATGCACTGTCAACTGTGGGACCTTATATAGACAGGTGTGTGCCTTTCCAAATCATGTCCAATCAATTGAATTTACCACAGATGGGCTCCAATCAAGTTGTAGAAACATCTCAAGGATGATCAATGGATACAGGATGCACCTGAGCTCAATTTCGAGTCTCATGGCAAAGGGTCTGAATACTTATGTAAATAAGGTATTTCTGTTTTTTATTTTTAATAAATGTGCAAAAAGTTCTAAACCTGTTTTTGCTTTGTCATTATGGTGTATTGTGTGTAGATTGCTGAATAAATGTTTTATTTAATCCATTTTAGAATAAGGCTGTAACGTAACAAAATGTGGAAAAAGTCAACGGGTTTGAATATTTTCCGAAGGCACTGTACACAGTATACACTAGTTCATTTATTTATATTGCTAACATTATTCGGTACTCATACCCATATTAAAGATCTGATAAAAGGTCTGGGTTGTATTCATTAGGGACCGCAATGGAAAACCTGTAAACATTTTGCAACTGAAAATGTGCATTTCTTATTGGTCCAGGTATTCCCTCGCAGTTTCAATCAGTGTTCCTCTGTTTAGTGCCTAATAAACACAACCCTCTTGTATGTGGGTGTGTCAGGACCCCATGGTGGAGAAGAGTCTGGCGTGTCTGAGGGCAGCAGTGTCTGACCAGCTGGAGAACACCTACACCACGGCCCTGCTGTCCTACACCTTCACCCTGGCCCAAAACCAGGACATGAGGGCCAAGCTCATCACCCACCTGGACAAGATAGCTGCTACCTCAGGTATGTGTTGTCTCTTTGTGAAAATGTCTGTCTCTCTCTACCTTTCTGTCTGACTGCTGGGAAACAGCCACTGACAATGAAAATGACCACAGGTGGCAATCGTCACTGGGAGAGAGCAGAGGCTTCTGGAACGAAGACTGACTCTCTGGAGGTGGAGATGACATCCTACGTGCTGTTGGCGCTGCTCTCAGGCCCCTCGATGCCAGGCTTTGGGCTTGGCTACTCCACCGGCATCGTCCGCTGGCTGGCCCAGCAGCAGAACCCGTATGGAGGCTTTGCCTCCACACAGGTACTTACTCACATTTTACATTTACATTTTAGTCATTTAGCAGACGCTCTTATCCAGAGCGACTTACAGTTAGTGAATACATATTTTTTTTTATACTGGCCCCCCGTGGGAATCGAACCCACAACCCTGGCGTTGCAAACGCCATGCTCTATCAACTGAGCTACATCCCTGCCGGCCATTCCCTCCCCTACCCTGGACGACGCTGGGCCAATTGTGCGCCGCCCATGAGTCTCCCGGTCGCGGCCGGCTGCGACAGAGCCTGGATTCGAACCAGGATCTCTAGTGGCACAGTTAGCACTGCGATGCAGTGCCTTAGACCACTGCATCACTCAGGAGACTCACCACACCTGGGTTCAAACACTATTGGGTTTTCTAGGTCTGGAGACAATAATTCACTCTAGCACATAATCTACCTATCTCTCCTACTGTTAGTACATGGTTAAACATTGATCACACCAAATACTTACAGTGGGGAAAAAAAGTATTTAGTCAGCCACCAATTGTGCAAGTTCTCCCACTTAAAAAGATGAGAGAGGCCTGTAATTTTCATCATAGGTACACGTCAACTATGACAGGCAAAATGAGAAATTTTTTTTCCAGAAAATCACATTGTAGGATTTTTAATGAATTTATTTGCAAATTATGGTGGAAAATAAGTATTTGGTCAATAACAAAAGTTTCTCAATACTTTGTTATATACCCTTTGTTGGCAATGACACAGGTCAAACGTTTTCTGTAAGTCTTCACAAGGTTTTCACACACTGTTGCTGGTATTTTGGCCCATTCCTCCATGCAGATCTCCTCTAGAGCAGTGATGTTTTGGGGCTGTCGCTGGGCAACACGGACTTTCAACTCCCTCCAAAGATTTTATATGGGGTTGAGATCTGGAGACTGGCTAGGCCACTCCAGGACCTTGAAATGCTTCTTACGAAGCCACTCCTTCGTTGCCCGGGCGGTGTGTTTGGGATCATTGTCATGCTGAAAGACCCAGCCACGTTTCATCTTCAATGCCCTTGCTGATGGAAGGAGGTTTTCACTCAAAATCTCACGATACATGGCCCTTCATTCTTTCCTTTACACGGATCAGTCGTCCTGGTCCCTTTGCAGAAAAACAGCCCCAAAGCATGATGTTTCCACCCCCATGCTTCACAGTAGGTATGGTGATCTTTGGATGCAACTCAGCATTCTTTGTCCTCCAAACACGACGAGTTGAGTTTTTACCAAAAAGTTCTATTTTGGTTTCATCTGACCATATGACATTCTCCCAATCCTCTTCTGGATCATCCAAATGCACTCTAGCAAACTTCAGACGGGCCTGGACATGTACTGGCTTAAGCAGGGGGACACGTCTGGCGCTGCAGGATTTGAGTCCCTGGCGGCGTAGTGTGTTACTGATGGTAGGCTTTGTTACTTTGGCCCCAGCTCTCTGCAGGTCATTCACTAGGTCCCCCCGTGTGGTTCTGGGATTTTTGCTCACCGTTCTTGTGATCATTTTGACCCCACGGGGTGAGATCTTGCGTGGAGCCCCAGATCGAGGGAGATTATCAGTGGTCTTGTATGTCTTCCATTTCCTAATAATTGCTCCCACAGTTGATTTCTTCAAACCAAGCTGCTTACCTATTGCAGATTGTCTTCCCAGCCTGGTGCAGGTCTACAATTTAGTTTCTGGTGTCCTTTGACAGCTCTTTGGTCTTGGCCATAGTGGAGTTTGGAGTGTGAATGTTTGAGGTTGTGGACAGGTGTCTTTTATACAGATAACAAGTTCAAACAGGTGCCATTAATACAGGTAACAAGTGGAGGACAGAGGAGCCTTTTAAAGAAGAAATTACAGGTCTGTGAGAGCCAGAAATCTTGCTTGTTTGTAGGTGACCAAATACTTATTTTCCACCATAATTTGCAAATAAATTCATAAAAAACCCTACAATGTGATTTTTCTGGGGGGAAAAAATCTCATTTTTTCTGTCATAGTTGACGTGTACCTATGATGAAAATTACAGGCCTCATATTTTTAAGCGGGAGAACTTGCACAATTGGTGGCTGACTAAATACTTTTTTCCCCCACTGTATTTGTATATAAAATGTAGCATATTGGACATTGTGTGACAACCTGGCGCCGACGAAGATGGCGGCTTCGCGACTAGCTCTTAGGAACCTTTGCAGTATTTTGTTTTTTTATGCATTATTTTTTACATTATTAGCTCAAAGTGTTTTGTATCATTACATACAGCCGGGGAAAACAATTGGAAATCAGAGCGGCGGTAACTCACCAGCATTACGACCAGGAATACGACTTTCCCAAAGCAGATCCTTTGTTTGCTCTCCCCAGGGCAACTGAACTGATTCCAGCGGCTGACCCAAAACATTGCCGGCGGAGGAGAGGCACTCGGAGCGTCCTGCTGGTTCGACTTAGGAGGCGCGCACACCACCCACCGCTTCCAAGTATACTACTCGCTAATGTTCAGTCTTTAGTTAACAAGATTGACGAACTCCGGGCAAGGATTTCTTTCCAGAGAGACATCAAGGCTTGTAACATACTTTGTTAAACGGAAACATGGCTCTCTTGGGATATTCTGTCGAAATCGGTCCAGCCAGAGGGGTTCTCAGTTCATCGCGCAGACAGGAATAAATATCTCTCTGGGAAGCAGAAGGGTGGAGGTGTGTGTTTCATGATTAACGACTCATGGTGTAATTGTAGTAACATACAGTAACTCGAGTCCTTTTGTTCACCCGACCTAGAATATCTCACAATCAAATGCCGACCGTATTATCTCCCAAGAAAATTTTATTCGGTTGTAGTCACGGCCGTGTATATCCCACCTCAAGCCGATACCACGACGGCCCTCAAAGAACTTCACTGGACTTTATGCAAACTAGAAACCACATATCCTGAGGCTGCATTTATTGTAGCCGGGGATTTTAAAAAAGCAAATTTGAGGACTAGGCTGCCGAAGATCTATTGACTGTTGTACTCGCGCTGCCAAAATTCTCGACCATTGCTATTCGAACTTCCGGGATGGTTATAAGGCCCTCCTCCGCCCTCTTTTCGGCAAATCTGACCACGACTCCATTTTGCTCCTCCCTTCCTATATGCAGAAACTCAAACAGGAAATACCCGTGCTAAGGACTATTCAACGCTGGGCTGACCAATCAAAACACTCTTGAAGCGTGGATTCTGATCACGCGGACTAGGATATGTTCCAGGTAGCTTCCGAAAATAATTTAGACGAATACACTGAAACGGTGACTGAGTTTATCAGGAAGTGTATAGGTGATGTTGTGCCCACTGTGACTATTAAAACCTACCCTAACCAGAAACCGTGGATAGATGGCAGCATTCGCGCCAATCTGAAAGCGCGAACCACCGCATTCAACCATGGCAAGGTGACTGGGAATATGGCAGAATACAAACAGTGTAGCTACTCACTCCGCAAGGCAATTAAACTGGCAAAACATCAGTATAGAGACAAAGTGGAGTCGCAATTCAACGGCTCAGACACGAGATGTATGTGTCAGGGTCTACAGACAATCACGGACTACAAAAGGAAAAGCAGCCACGTCGCAGACACCGACGTCTCGCTTCCAGACAAGCTAAACACCTTCTTCGCCCGCTTTGAGGATAACACAGTGCCACTGACGAGGCCCACTACCAAGGACTGTGGCCTCTCCTTCTCTGTGGCCGACGTGATTAAGACATTTAAGCATGTTAAACCCCCGCAAGGCTGCCGGCCCAGACGGCATCCCTAGCCGCGTCAAGATGGCCACCATTGTTCCTGTACCCAAGAAAGCAAAGGTAACTGAACTAACTGACTATCGCCCTGTAGCACTCACCTCTGTCATCATGAAGTGCTTTGAGAGACTAGTCAAGGATCATATCACCGCTACCTTACCTGTCACCCTAGACCCACTACAATTTGGTTACCGCCCCAATAGATCCACAGACGCCATCACACTGCCCTATCCCATCTGGACAAGAGGAATACCTTATGTAAGAATGCTGTTCATTGACTATAGCTCAGCATTCAACACCATAGTACCCTCCAAGCTCATCATCAAGCTCGAGGCCCTGGGTCTGCACCCCGCCCTGTGCAACTGGGTCCTGGACTTCCTGCCGGGCCTCCCCCAGGTGGTGAAGGTAGGAAACAACATCTCCACTTCGCTGATCCTCAACACTGGGGCCCCACAAGGGCGCATGCTCAGCCCCCTTCTGTACTCCCTGTTCACCCATGACTGTGTGGCCAAGCACGCCTCCAACTCAATCATCAAGTTTGCAGATGACACAACAGTAGTAGATTGATTACCAACAATGACGAGACCGCCTACAGGGAGGAGGTGAGAGCTCTGGGAGTGTGGTGCCAGGAAAATAACCTCTCACTCAACGTCAACAAAACAAAGGAGATGATCGTGGACTTCAGGAAACAGCAGAGGGTGCACCCCCCTATCTACATCGACGGAACCGCAGTGGAGAAGGTGGAAAGCTTCAAGTTCCTTGGCATACACATCACCGACAAACTGAAATGGTCCACCCACGCAGACAGTGTGGTGAAGAAGGCGCAACAGAGCCTCTTCAACCTCAGGAGGCTGAAGAAATTCGGCTTGGCACCTAAACCCTCACAAACTTATACAGATGCACAATTGAGAGCATCCTGTCGGGTTGTATCACCACCTGGTACGGCAACTGCACCGCCCGCAACCGCAGGGCTCTCCAGAGGGTGGTGCGGTCTGCCGAACGCATTATCGGAGGCAAACTACCCGCCCTCCAAGACACATACAGCTCCCGATGTCACAGGAAGGCCAAAAAGATCATCAAGGACATCAACCACCCGAGCCACTGCCTGTTCACCCCGCTATCATCCAGAAGACGAGGTCAGTACAGGTGCATCAAAGCTGGGACCGAGAGAATGAAAAACAGCTTCTATCTCAAGGCCATCAGACTGTTAAATAGCCATCACTAGCACATTAGAGGCTGCTGCTGCCTATTGAAATCACTGGCCACTTTAAGAAATGGTACACTAATCACTTAATAATGTTTACAGTCACTTTAATAATGTTTACATATCTTGCACTACTCATCTCATATGTATATACTGCATTCTATTCAATAATATTATACTGTATCTTAGTCCATGCCGCTCTGTCATTGCTTGTCCATATATGTATATTTTCTTAAATTCCATTCCTTACTAGTTTTGTGTGTATTAGGTATATGTTGTGAAATTGTTAGATATTACTTGTTAGATATTACTGCACTATCGGAGCTAGAAGCACAAGCATTTCGCTACACCCGCTATAACATCTGCTAAACACGTGTATGTGACAAATAAAATTTGATTTGATTAAAGCCTTACAATCATTTCATAACACAACACATGGATTTCCTTGAATTGTTGTGCTTCATTTTACATTCTTCATATGTATTGATTCTCTCCATCCATACCCAAGCTGTAGTCGATCTGGATTTGTTTTTGCAACGGTACCTCTCTTCTTCGCCTGTCACCAGGACACAGTGGTAGCACTGCAGGCCCTGGCCAAGTACGGCGCCGCCACCTTCAGTCCAGAGGGCGCCAGTACAGTCAGTGTGAGCTCGGCCAGAGGCCTGAAGATGGAGTTCACTGTGAATCAGAACAACAGGCTGCTCTATCAGGAGGAGCAGCTGAAGGAGGTCCCTGGGGACTACAACATCAAGGCACAGGGCAAGAGCTGCGTGTTTGTGCAGGTCAGGCTCCAGTCATTTGCCCTTTGCTGCCTCAGTACATGCAGTACTGAGTATCTGGTTTGTGTTCAGTAGAGCACACTGTTGTTTCAACCCTAGAATTTCAGCATTAACGGAAATGCATGAGTACTGTACGTTGAAATATGTATGTTGATTTCATGCATCTCAATGGTATTGTTGTAATTTCAGATCGCCATGCACTACAATATTCCCCCTCCTCCTGACTTCTCTGCTTTCAACATCTCAACACAGACGCTTGGGAAATGCAACGGCACCAAGAAATCTCTGATAGTTTCTGTGAATGTCAGGTACAGTGCTATTTCTTTTACCCTTGAAATAGCAACTGACTGATTCTGGTAGGACACCAAAAAAAGGGACTGAACCACCAAAGCTGCAATATGTAACTTTTTGGGTGACCTGACCGAATTCACATAGAAATATGAGTTTTAGATCTGTCATTCTCATTGACAGCAAGTCTAAGAAGCGGTAGATCTGTTCTATGTGCGCTATTTTTATGCTTCCCATTCTTAAGTTTAGTTTTTGCGCATTTTTACTTTCGGTTTTGTACACCAGCTTCAAACAGCAGAAAATAAAATGTGTTTGGTTATTGAAAATATATTTCAAAGTGGTTTAGATGGTACAATGATTCTCTTGCTTGTTTTGTCACAAACTTAAATTAGGCTAACTAGTAGAATTTTTGCATATTTGCACCTTTAAGATAATATCTATCCTGCATCTGACCCGGTGTGACTGACAGGTACAACGGTCGGCGAGAGGAGACCAACATGGTGATCATCAATGTCAAGCTTCTCTCCGGCTTCGTCCTGGACAAGTCCTCCCTTAGGCCTGTGAGTCAATAAGAGAACCTCTGTTGAGGGGAACACACATACAGTTTAATCAGGGCCAGGAGTTTTACCAAGTTGGGGAACACTCCAGTATAATCCCCTCCAGGATTAGTTAATGTATATTCATGATAATGGCGTCTGTTCTAATTGTAAGTAAACTCTGCAAAAAAAGAAACGTCCTCTCACTGTCAACTGCGTTTTTCAGCAAACTTAACGTGTAAATATGTATTATTGTATTGTGAATTCCAGTAGTTGTCCTTTGAACGTATCAGTTGTACTGTCTATGACAATGTTAACCTGTGTTCTGTTATTCCAGTTGAAAAATGACCCCACTGTCAAACGAGTTGACCTGGAGGAAGGACATGTCATCATCTACCTAGATGGGGTAGGAACATGAATAATGAATGTTGCATCTAAACGGGGCTGTTTTTATCGGTTACAGAAAACCTTTTTGGATGTGGTCTCATTTGCATCCACACAGTGGATTTAACTTGAACAGTAACATCAAAGTAAGACTGTAGTGGATGTTTTATACAGTAGCACTGTGTGAATCTATAACATTGAACTGCAGTGTCAAATGTATTATTCCTTTTCTTCCAGCTTAAGCAGAAGGAAACTAAGACGTACAGCCTGGCCATAGAGGAGGATGTGCCTGTGAGGAATCTGAAACCAGCTGTGGTGAAAGTGTATGACTACTACCAGACAAGTAAGAATTCCATCTAACACAGACAGTAAAAACGTGATCTCATGCGCAGAAAACCTTGTCTGGCAGCGAAACAGTTCATTCAGCCTAATTTTACTGCCTTAAAAAAAAAGATGGCTGACTTGCTTAAACAAATGTGGTGTCTACTGACAATTGAAATGTACAAACTATGTCATAAGGGGACGACGAGCGGGATCAAGCTAGGACGGATGAAGTCAACTATTTGTTCAGCACTTTTGAAATGTACAGCGACAGAATTCAGAACATGGGCCGTTCTTACAGTATTCTCCCTGTACACCAAGTCAGTACCGTAGGACAAATAAAGGAGGCATATAAGCAGACAATGAAAGCTATTACAATATTCAATTATTACATTTCTCTAGGGCTACTAACAGCTTACTACACAACATACACTTAGTATTACTTTCTTAGCTACAGTATACATATCTCCCTGGCATATTACATCAATTATGCAGCAGAATACAATACATTTTCGGACTGCTGTGCTCACTTGAACAGGATGGTGGTGCGGTGGCCCATCGTGGGCAAATTCTGTCATCAAACTGTCATCAAAGTCTGGCATTCTCTGGATTTCAAATCAATTTGATTTGTCACATGCGCCGAATACAACAGGTTTAGACCTTACCGTGAAATGCTTACTTACAAGCCAACAATGCAGTTATGTATTTTTTTTCTCCCCAATTTCGTGATATCCAATTGCGATCTTGTCTCATCGCTGCAACTCCCCAACGGGCTCGGGAGAGGCGAAGGTCGAGTCATGCGTATCCGAAACATGAGCCGCCAAGCCGCGCTTCTTAACACCCGCTCACTTAACCCGGAAGCCAGATGCACCAATGTATCGGAGGAAACACCGTTCAACTGACGACCAAAGTCAGCTTGCAGGCGCCCGGCCCGCCACAAGGAGTCGCTAGAGCGCGATGAGCCAAGGATTGCCCCACCCCCGGCCAAACCCTCCCCATATCATATTTACTAAATAAACGTAACAAAAAAAATTAAAGAGTAACAATAAAATAACAATACAGAGGCTATATACAGGGGGTACCAGTACCGAGTCAATGTGCGGGGGTACAGGTTAGTCGAGGTAATATGTACATTTAGGTAGGGGTAAAGTGACTATGCATAGATGATAAACAGCGAGTAGCAGCAGTGTTAAAAAGGGGGAGGGGGGGGGGTGTCAATGCAAATAGCCAGGTAGCCATTTGATTAGCTGTTCAGCAATATTATTGCTTGGGGGTAGAAGCTGTTAAGAAGCCTTTTGGACCTGGACTTGGCGCTCCAGTACCGCTTGCCGTGCGTTAGCCGAGAGAACAGTCTATGACTAGGGTGTTTTTGGCCATTTTTAGGGCCTTCCTCTGACACCGCCTGGTATAGAGGTCCTGAATGGCAGGAAGCTTGGCCGTACGCACTACCCTCTGTAGTGCCTTGCGGTCGGAGGCAGAGCAGTTGCCATACCAGGCCATGATGCAACCAGTCAGGATGCTCTCGATGGTGCAGCTATATAACTTTTTGAGGATCTGAGGACCCGTGCCCTCTTCACGCCTGTCTTGGTGTGTTTGGACCATGATAGTTTGTTGATGTGGACACCAAGGAACTTGAAGCTCTCAACCTGCTCCACTACAGCCCCGTCGATGAGAAGAGAGGCGTGCTCGGTCCCTCCTTTTCCTGTAGTCCACGATCATCTCCTTTGTCTTGATTACGTTGAGGGAGAGGTGGTTGTCCTTGCACCACACTGCCAGGTCTCTGACCTCCTCCCTATAGGCTGTCTCATTGTTGTCGGTGGTCAGGCCTACCACCGTTGTGTCGTCGGCAAACGTAATGATGGTGTTGGAATCGTGCTTGGCCACGCAGTCATGGGTGAACAGGGAGAACAGGAGGGGACTAAGCAGGCCCCCCTGAGGGGCCCCCGTGTTGAGGATCAGCGTGGCAGATGTGGTGTTGCCTACCCTTACCAACTGGGGGTGGCCCGTCAGGAAGTCCAGGATCCAGTTGCAGAGGGAGGTGTTTAGTCCCAGGGTCCTTAGCTTATTGATGAGCTTTGTGGGCACTATGGTGTTGAACGCTGAGCTGTAGTCAATGAACAGCATTCTCGCATAGGTGTTCCTTTTGTCCAAGTGGGAAAGGGCAGTGTGGAGTGCGATTGAGATTGTGTCATCTGTGGATCTGTTGGGGCGGTATGCGAATTGGAGTGGGTCTAGGGTTTCCGGGATAATGGTGTTGATGTGAGCCATGACCAGCCTTTCAAAGCACTTCATGGCGATCGACGTGAGTGCTACGGGGCGGTAGTCATTTAGGCAGGTTACCTTCGCTTTCTTGGGCACAGGGACTATGGTGGTCTGCTTGAAATATGTAGGTATTACAGACTTGGTCAGGGACCGGTTGAAAATGTCAGTGAAGACACTTTCCAGTTGGGTCAGCGCATGCTCGGAGTACACGTCCTGGTAATCCATCTGGCCCTGCGGCCTTGGGAAATGTTGACCTGTTTAAAGGTCTTACTCACATCGGCTACGGTGAGCGTGATCACACAGTCGTCCGGAACAAGTGGTGCTTGCCTCGAAGCGCATAAAGTAATTTAGCTTGTCTGGTAGGCTCGTGCCACTGGGCAGCTCGCGGCTGGGCTTCCCTTTGTAGTCCGTAATAGTTTGCACGTCCTGCCACATCCGACGAGCGTTGGAGTCAGTGTAGTAGGATTCAATCTTAGTCCTGTATGACTCTTTGCCTGTTTGATGGTTTGTCAGTGGGCATAGCGGGATTTCTTATAAGCGTCCAGGTTGGAGTCCTGCTCCTTGAAAGCGGCAGCTTTCTACCCTTTAGCTCAGTGCGGATGTTGCCTGTAATCCATGGCTTATGGTTGGGGTATGTACGTATGGTCACTGTGGGGACGATGTCATCGATTCACTTACTGATGAAGTGCTTTCAAGACAACTGGGAACTCTGGAAAAAGAACAAGGTTGAATCATGACGTCAGTGATCTTCAGGTCACTGAAGAGCTCTAGAAAGAGGCCCGAGTTCCCGACTTGGAATTCCGAATTGGATGACCGTTCAAAACATATTTTCCTGAGTTCCCAGTTGTCTTGAACTCACTGAAGTCTGAGATTTCCCAGTTCCGAGTTTCCCGTTGTTTTGAACGCGGCAGAAGTCATGCTGGATTGAAGCATGGCCAATGTTGAATGTTTGTCCTTTTAAGCTTGGAAAAGAGACCCTTAAACCCAGACTTGAACCACACACACACACTCCACTGAATAGCAGGCTAGTGCTTGCTTTGCAAGGCTTGCCCGTTAGCCATTGATTCCTTCCAAACCACCATTGTTGAATTTGCGATTTCCAACTTGTTGTGTAATGTTTATGTCCAATGGCCGATGAGCACCGATATGTTTTATCTATAATTTCTCGTCATAATTTCTCTTCATATGACAAGGATTGAAAAGGATTTGCCAGTAGATTGTTGACTTGATTCATGATGATGACTGCTAGCTTGCTAGCTAAGAAAGTATAATGTTGACAATCAAAGTTACAGTAGATATAACGTGATTTGACGTCATTTTATCTGTGCCCAATGACCTTGAGCCTTCATGGATGGGCACTTCTAATGTAACTCTATGGCAGCACCCAAGGGGCTTGAATTTCCTAGCTCTACCCGTAGATTTTGCAGTGACATAGTGTCCCCATGAGTGACAGAACACTGAGTCAATCATGGCGTAATTGGAGAACATTACCACTGCACTGAGCTAGGCTAGAAACACCTGAATTTTGGAGCTGCCTTACTCAAGAAAGCAAAAAAGACACCATGTTTGTATGCGGCTTTATTAACTCAATGATTATTATATTTTTTACATTGTTTGCAAACTGAAATGAGACGCGTATTAATGCCAAAATAACATGCAAAACAGGCACACACACAAAAAAATGACACTGCCCATAGGGTATATTATTCCTAGATATATTAGTACTTTGGAAAAGTGTCAAAGCGTCCTTTTAATAAAAGAGCACCATTAATTGGAAATAATAATAGTATATAGATATTTTGGATGTTGCTTTTTTTGTCTATTAATAGAAGACTACCAGTTTCTATTACCCAGTTTCCAAACACCCCTTTCTCTCTGAAATATTTATACTAAACAAAAATATAATTGTCTGGGCCTGGCTCCCCAGTGGGTGGGCCTATGCCCTCCAAGGCCTACCCATGGCTGCACCCCTGCCCAGTCATGTGAAATCCAGAGATTAGGGCCTAAATTATTTATTTGAATTGACTGATTTCTTTATATGAACTGTAACTCAGTAAAATCTTTGAAGTTTTGAAGCACTGCCATACCTGTCTGGGTTACGTACATAACTCTGGTTCCCGGAAGAAGGAAACGAGAAATCACCAGTATGGGCCCATTGGTTCACCCCTTAAGTTGAAGTTTAAGGATGTTGACTGACTGAAAGGGAAGCAAAGATATCATTAGAAAGGAACTGACCTCTGCATTCTCATTGTTCTGTTCTCAGGTGATGAAGCTGTGAGTGAATACAGCTCCCCATGTGCAGAGAGTAAGTACATAACCTTTCTATAAACAAACCTACATGACTCATGCTTAAATTACAGGAATGAAGATGCAGGGCCGGCCCAAGCCTTTTTGGGGCCCTAAGTGAGATTTGCACCTCCCAGGCAAAACATTCAGTGGCCCCCTTCTTGAGATAAATATTTTAGTTGTAAAGCTAATTTCCTGCAATTCTATATATTTGTCATGGGGAGTAAAGAACATTTTGCAAAACCTGACTCCATTACACCAGCTCTGTCAGGAGGAATGGGCCAAAATTCACCCAACTTATTGTGGGAAGCTTGTGGAGGCTACCCGAAACGTTTGACCCAAGTTAAACAATTTAAAGGCAATGCTACCAAATACTAATTGAGTGTATGTAAACTTCTGACCCACTGGGAATGTGATGAAAGAAATAAAAGCTGAAATAAATCATTCTCGTCTGCTAAATGGCATATTATATATATTATTATTCTTACATTTCACATTCTTCAAATATAGTGGTGATCCTAACTGACCTAAGACAGGGAATTTTTACTAGGATTAAATGTCAGGAATTGTGAAAAACTGAGTTTAAATGTATTTGGCTAAGGTGTATGTAAACTTCCGACTTCAACTGTATATGTTCACTGTTTTATAGGGAGTCAAATCCTAGGCCAAGCAGGGAATGTTCTATTGATGATTTGACATTTTCACAGGTGATGAAGTCAATGAAGTGTGACAGAGAGAGCCAAACACAAGCTGACTGGACCCGGGCTCAACCAAGTACTTTAATATGTAGGAAGTTATGTTTTTTAGGCAGAGCTCATAGAACCTCTCCATTTATTTGGTTTGATGCTTATAGTTTCTGGTAACACATTGACCAACTCGTGATCCGATTTGTAATATTGTAAGTGAACACAATTTTTTGTCATTTTAATAGATTGGCCGTAGGATTTTACCTTTTAACACCTTTTTTATTGTGTTACTTTGATTTGTGCCAAAACATGTCACAACTTGCTGTTGTAACCCTAAACCTGCTATTACTAAAGTTATGTGAGATTGTTATTTCAAAAGTTTAATTTCAGTGTTTCTACTGCGATGATAAATGCATACGACTGCATCTACTGAAAATGAAATAAATGTTTTAATAAAACTGTTGCTATGGATTCAACCACGGAAGACTCACAGTAACATTTCTTTTTTTTAAAAAGCTCTGACAAAATCGATATAATCCTTACATTAAACACTCAGATGGTGATTATAAATGTTGTCGTGATCGTGTAGCCTGTCTGAATCCTTTACAATGATGTCAAGCTTTGTAGTGTTAGGGCAAAAAAACAAAAAGTTTGGGAAACGCTGTTTTAGACAGAGACCCAGAGTAAGCTGCATATGGAGGTTCTATCTAAGGATTGGTGGAGTTCTGTTTAGCACTGACTACTTTGATAGACTTGAATATTGGGTTGTTTGGGTTAACTTTGCCATTAAACTCTCTTCATTGGGTTAATGCAAATGTGGTTGTAGTATGAAAAGTAATAGTACTATCAAAAATGTTTTTCCAAGCAACCTGGAGAAAGTCAGCCTGTACGTTCTAAAGTTGTTTTGGTCTCAGTAGCTTTTCATTTTTTTGTGCTAGAGGTTCCAGCGGAAGGCGAATAATAATGACTAGAAAGGTACAGGTAAAATAATGAGCAATTAACATCCCATCATGCTTAGGGTCATGTATAGAAATGCTGGGCAGGCCATGATTTTGGCTACCATGGCAATGCCCCCATAGGATGGCAATGCCCCCAACCACAGGGCACGAGTGGTCACTGACTTGTTTGGTGAGCATGAAAATGATGTAAACCATATGCCATGGCCGTGTGTCACCAGATCTAATCCCAATTGAACACTTAAGGGAGATTCTGTACCAGTGCCTAAGACAGCATTTTCTACCACCATCAACAAAACACAAAATTATGGAATTTCTCATGGAAGAATGGTGTCACATCCCTCCAATAGAGTTCGAGACACTTGTAGAATCTATGCCAAGGTGCATTAAAGCTGTTCTGGGTCGTGGGTGGCCCAACGCCCTATTAAGACACTTTGTTGGTGTTTCCTTTATTTTTGGCAGTTTCCTGTACATTTCCTAAAGAAAATGTGTGCGCTTGCTAGCTTGTCTTAAAGTATACTGACCCAAAATAAAAATGCAACATGTTTCATGAGCTGAAATAAAATATCCTAGAAATGTTCAATTCGCACAAAAAGCTTATTTTTCAAGTTTTGTGCACAAATTCGTTTACATCCCTGATAATTAGCATTTATCGTTTGCCAAGATAATCCATCCAATTGACAGGTGTGGCATATCAAGAAGCTGATTAAACAGCATGATCGTTACACAGGTGCACTGTATGCTGGGGACAATAAAAGGCACTCTAAAATGTGCAGTCTTGTCACACAACACAATGCCACACATGTTTTGAGGGAGCGTGCAATTGGCACGACTGCAGGAATGTCCACCAGAGCTGTTACCAGATAATTGAATGTTAAATTCTCTACCATAAGCCGCCTCCAACGTCATTTTAGAGAATTTGGCAGTACGTCCAACCGGCTTCACAACCGCAGACCACGTGTAACTACGCCAGCCCAGGACCTCCACATCCGGCTTCTTCACCTGCGGGATTGTCTGACCAGCCACCCGGACAGCTGATGAAACTGTATTTCTGTCTGTAATAAAGCCCTTTTGTGGGGAAAAACTTATTCTGATTGGTGCCCCTGCCCAGTCATGTGAAATCCATAGATTAGGGCCTAATTTATTTATTTCCTTATATGAACTGTAACTCAGTAAAATTGTTGAAATTGCATGTGTTTTATATTTTTATTCAGTATATTTATGGTTGTGAAATACGTTGCAATTGTGATTATAGTGACTGGTTATAGTTGAAAAAGTAGATAGATGGGAGGATTGATTGATTGATTGTTTGCTAGGATAGGATTGCTTGAACATGTTAAAGTTGGTTTGGTGTCTCTAGCTTGAATGGGTCAAAAGTTACTATTATTGTTGGTGTGTTAAAAAAATTGTTTTATTCTAAACTGAAATAAGCTAATTAAGAAAAAGCAGAAAAGCTGGCTGAAACCCTTTTTGTATTTGTTGGCGTTCATTATTAGGATTCCAAGCCCGGAAGGTGCTGGAACCCTGTTATAATTGTTAGGATTATTATTTTCCCATTTCTGGAGTGCTTTAGCTCTGAAATGGTAAGACCTACAGAGACCAAACTTGGTGGGATGGTGTAATGATGCACGAATACGTCTGGTTACACGTCGTGCAACTCGGCCAAATGGTGGCGCTATAAACTAGATTAGGTAAGTCCCACCTCCTCATTTGACCTGAAGTCTCGGGATTTGGTACAGAGGTTCTTCTCTACCCAAGGAACACATTTTCCTCTAGGACCGATGACGTCACCATCATCCGCCATTTAGAAAGTTGTGTAAATTCGTCAAAAAAATGTAACATCTCCTTAGACACTGCTAAATCGATTTATCCAAAACTTGGTGTACAGCATCTATCGACCACAATCTTAAAATGCATTATAAATGAAGTTGATATCTTAAACATCATGGCCGCGGTGAGCCAATGAAGTTGAGTGAGTTTGGGCATGACAATTTAAGTCGTTCTTGAAGGGAATGAAGTCCCCTGCTGGCCATGCAGGGGGCGGCAGGTAGCTTAGTGGTTAAAGCTTTGTGCCAGTAACCGAAAGGTCGCTGGTTCTAATCCCCGAGCCGACTACGTGAAAAATCTGTCGATGTGCCCTTGAGCAAGGCACTTAACCCTAATTGCTCCTGTAAGTCGCTCTGGATAAGAGCGTCTGCTAAATGACTAAAATGTAAATGTAATGCCTCTCCATACTCTACAATGTTTCTTGAAGTTTATACAATTGGTGAGAGTATCATCGATGAAGACCGAAACCCTTTAGATCCAGACCAAGACTTTCTGAAAGCCAGACCAAGGACCAATGTATGGAGACCATGACCAGACCAAGACCAGTTTAAATGGGGAAAAACAAGATCCAGTAGAGTAAACTCAAGTATAGTTCAGTACAGTACAGTGGGCGGCAGGTGAGCAAGGCACTTAACCCTAATTTGCTCCAGGGGTGCCGTACTTCTATAGCTGACCATGTAAAACAACACATTTCACTACAACTATCCGGTGTATGTAACAATACATCTTCTTTTTTTTTTGTATAGTTCAGTGCAGTACAGTAAAGTACAATACAGTAGAGTATAGTTCATGCCGACCCATGGCAACCTGGGTTTGAATCCCACCACTGCCGCGTTCAGATAGACATCCCTAGACAGTAAGGGATTGTTGGTGGTGTGCCTGAACCAACATTTTATGACTTGTAAAATAAGTGTGAAAAGGGCAGAAAGGGCGAAACGGTCGTTGCTGCTTGTAGCTATATTTAGGGGTTAAGGCCTAAAGGAACAAAGGCCACGACCTCTCATGAGAGAAGATGCGACGAATCAATGCGAAGATGCGACGAATGCAATTTCAGAGTGTTATTTCGACCCATAGTAGGGATGGGACGATACCAGTATCGCGATACTCGTTTAGTATCATGGCAAGGAAACAAAACACATAGCAGATTTAACTTCTTTAGGAAAACAGCCCTGAAGTTGGAAACAAATATCATTATGTAGTCATCCAGTCACATGTATTTATTTTCCTAGCTATAGCACACAATATTTTACATACAGCAGGTTTTTAAAGGACCAAAGAGTTTGGTCAGTTTGGTCTTTTCCATGTAAAAAATATTGCGATACTGATATCGTCCATGTCCTACCTCATAGTGTGTGTGTGGGAAATATCATTAAAAGAAAACACTAAAACCGAGTTTTTAACTGCACTGCTCCTTTTTTTGACAGTGCCAGACTGACTAACTGCACTACCATAATACCCATGGCCTGTCCAGAAACAACCCCTAGCCTCTACTGCCCAGGGTCTAGACACTTGTGGAGATCTGAGAGGGATTGATGGGTGGTGACATGGTGAGAACTCTCTGAAACGCTTGGTAAGATTTGTGCAGTATTGCTTACACCTGTCCAATCCTCTCAGATCTCCACGTGGCTAGGGGTTGCTTCTGGACAGGAACCCACAACCCTCCGTCTGTGTGGTGGACCTACAGCATGACTCGAGGCATTGGTTGGATGTTTCATTCCATTGCTTTACACACATGGATTTGCACAGGTGTAAGCAGGATCAGCTGATGTTGCACGATCATTTCCCCACATAACTAAAAAGCTAGACATCAAATGCGCATCAAACAACTATTATGGATCATTATTGAAGAACCCCGTTAATTACAGTATCAATTTTTGTTTGATTCATCTTGTTAAAGTTACTCTTCCTGTTAGAAGCATTCAATTTTGCAATCCATGCAATATTTTGGATATGTGTGCCCATGGAAACTGTTTTCACACTGTAACATGGGGAGATACGAAATGTTACATATGGAGATTCGAAATGTTACGAGGTTACAGTGCACTTCCGAGATCTCCATACAAAAAGTCCGACAGCAATATTCAGGAATTTTACAGGATCAAGTTCAATGTGTAATTCAATAGTTACATGCTTAATATATGATTTAATGACAAACAGCAATATCATAAATGTAAGGAAAGAAATGTAGTGTTTTATGTCACGATTTTTGCCAAATCTGTGACGACTCCAAGTATGAGAAAACGTTTAAACATAGGTTTTGATTCAACTCATGAATTATATTGAATGTATCTACAGTATGTTCCCCCTTTATATCTTAATGTATTCACATGAAAAAAAGCAAATTATTATGAATGACTTTGTAACAGCTCCAAACAAGAAATGCTCACTGGTACCCTAGTTTATAGAAAGACCTATGAATTGTAGCAACAAGCTGTGTTGAAGCAATTTAAGTTAAGTCAGACTGCACATGTACAACTTGGTTTGGTGTTTGTAGTATAAATGGTTCAAGAGCAGTGTCGGTTCCCACATGGAAGGTTGAGTGGGTGTAGGGGCATTTGTGGTGGTGGTTTGGTGGGCATACAAAGCTTTGTTGGTGTGTTTGGAGCTTTTGGAGGTTAGAAAAAACTCATGCTAGGTGGTCAAGTGAAGACTGGTTGAGCCGTGGACAAAAACAAATGTTGCTATTTGCATTACCAGTTTCACAGCTCCAGGAAAGAACACATTCTTGACCAGGTATTGACATCGCATTACCTGGTATGGACATCGCATTACCAGTTTTACCGCTCCATTCAAG